ATGCACGAGTGTTTGTTAGGCAAAGTTTCTGGCAAATAATGTTCAATCCGTAATGTAAATATATAATCCGTAGTATAAACCACGTGAATGAAGCTACAAACTATACACCCTGTATTGGTCCGCCCTGCCCCACGGAATTCACGTGCTTCCCGTCACACGTCGTGTACGTCCAATCCCCCGCCCAAAACTACACACCTGTGTATTCGAGCACCCAAATAACCCCAGTGATACCTTACCATTGATAAATATCTTAGCTTAATCTGTTTTTGTTTTAAGGAAAACTATTTCATTTATCAAAAATAATTATTTTATTTTTTTTTCAGTCAGTTATAAAATGACGTTAACAAGGAGAATAGCCTTGCAAACATAAAATCATGTAAATAGTTTAAAATAACAAAAAAATCAGAAGCTGAATTAAGTTGGTTACAGACCTAAACGATACAAATTGGTTGCCATATTATCACGACTAAGATTGTTATTACGTAAAAAACAAAACCCCCTCCCCCCCTCAAAAAAAAAATTAAAAAATAAAAATAAAAAAGAAATGAAAATAAAAATTGGGGGAGGGTTTATATGTAAAGTATTATCAGTAACTGTGGTAATTCACCATATCAACACAGTAACGTTACACTGTCGCTGATGTCACAAGCTATCCTGTATATGAAATTTACTTTCATGTGTGTTTGTAACGGCTACTAAAATACATATTTTGAAATCGATTTTTTTATTGGCAGGCTGTTCACTAGGTCTGGTACTAACTTCTGTGTGAGAGATATGGAGAAAGAAGATCTACCGAAGGTTCACGAGTTACTGACTGTGCTGGACTGGAACATGGAAAAGGCGTATCTAGACTGCGCAATCAAGACTGACCCCCGGGGATTCGTAGTGGCAGAAACACCATCAAAGAAACTCATCGGTAAACAATGATGATGATGATGATGATGATGATGATGATGATGATGATGATGATGATGATGATGATGATGATGGACACAAGAGTACATGTTTAAACACATAATATATAATCTAAATAGATATGTAGATAATTTGAAAAACGACATAGAAACAATCATCAACATTTAGTGTTACAAGGGAGACAACTCCAATTAAATTCTTATGATAAGTTTACTCACGACTTCGAATAACAGATCACAGGAATAAATAAAATCTAGATGAGTTATTGACTTTGGTTGAAGGATATGGGTCACAGGTCGATGGGTAAAGAACCCATGCAGACAGGTTTGATATAGCTGACCGAACACAGCTAGGAATTCCTTGAAAATGATATGGAAAGAAATATATAAATTAATTTTATCAGAAATGACATTATGTTTTATAATGAATAACGTATGAGGTACGGCTTCATGGGGAAAATTGATTACAATTAAATTTTCATATTTTCAGGTTGCCATGGTTTTCTTGCACATAATCCGTCCATGACCAACATGGGATTGTGGATAGTGGACAAAAGTTACCAGGATGATCAGGTGGGACATCAGTTGTTTGGAGAACTCTGTACCAGATTTCCTACAGGTACAAACATTGGTACCTTTATCTGGCCTCATTATGTTGATAAGATTAAGGAACGCTATGGTATTAGCGTCCAAAAATCATACATGACCTGGTATAATTACGGACTCATCAACCCCGACACTTTAAAACCTTGTACTGAGGAACATTTCCAAGTTCTATCTGTTTCGGATATCGATATGTCCGACCTTTTTTCTTACGATGCAGAAATCCACCAAGTTCCACGCGAGGTATATATAAGGAATTGGATTCGTCATGACCAGTCAAAGACCTACGTTGCCGTGCGGAATAACAAAGTATGTGGTTATGGTGTGCTTCGGTCTCAAGATTCGCACAATCAGATCGCTCCGCTTTACGCTGATGGTAAAGACATTGCTAAAGCTATCGTTCGCAACTTAGTCAAACATATACCAGGACAGATCGTAGGATTATCAAGTCCGCTTCAGAACTCGTCTGCGATTGAATTCGCCGCAGCCAATAATATGATGAAATGTGGAAAGCCTTTGTTGATGGTGTATTTAAGACCAGGTGTCTGTGTGAACACTGACAGAGTCTACGCTGTCTCCTCGAACTCGTTTGGAAACTGCTGATATCTGTCTCAGTATTTTGTCATAATGTATTTTTAACTTTGTGAAAATACTGTGACATGATCAAAAACATTTCGTGATTCAATATTCGTTATTTCGAATGAAAATGACAATCAACACTAATGTGACGTATTCATTTACACAAATGTAATTCCTGCCAGGGTAGAGTATCCCATACTGCCTTATCACCAAAGAATTACCTCAAGCGTTTGTCCATATGACGAATTTCTCGGATTCGAAAAAATGACGTCATAATTCATACTTAACGCGATTCATATATTTTTTTATTGCATTTAACATGTTAATATTTCAACTGCATTATTTATTTTTTTAAAAAAAGCATAAAAGCAGAGAGGGCCCACAGATATGATTCCAATCGATTGTCAAATGCTAATCTGATCCACCACTAGCATTCTATTGAGTGTCATCTGGTGACGCCGTTTGATGGAGCTTACAAGTCTAATGACCGTTTTTGAAACTGTTGAGATTTGTAAAATTCTTGATTACCTGATTGATGTTGGCTTGATTTATGGACTATGACTTTAAATTTTAATTTTTTGTGTTAATATACCCATTTAAGATTTTTAGCATTTGTGTTTTACCTTTTAGTTTGATGTTATTTCCTTTTGGATCGCTATGTGTTTTATCGGTTGATGGCCCTAATGACCTTTTATGTGTTGACGGGCCGTTAAGACTGTAATAATAATAATAATAATAACAATGATAATAAACAAACTGGATTCAGATCTTCAAAACACGTACAAAATTATAACACACTATTTCAACTGGAGTTACTTCCCCTTAAACCGCACACATGATAATTAGACATAACGTAGATTCAAGTGTGATGTCGGTGCTCATATCTTATGAACGATGTCTCTCACGACTCGTATTTTTCCAAAGGTCTCCCATCTGTTTCACGTCAGTTCTTACAACTCTGGATTGACAGATAGATATCTTGCGTGAAGGCTAGTTTACTTTAGAAACTGCCGCGGAAGGGGTGGAAATGGTGAAATGACGTCACTTTAATACTTTCAAAGGGTTTCTTAGCCTGCTGTTTTGATTGTTAATGCTACAGATAACATAAACGGGCCTGATACCCGGTAAATCTATTTCGATTGAATTAAGAATCTTTCATGGTCAAAGATGAACCCAAATTATGATGCATGTTGTCCTTTGTCATCAGGGACCTGAGGGGCGGGGCAAAAAGTAGTCAAAATGACTAAAATGTCCGAACACTTTTCTTCTTCTCAGCACCAATATATGGTTGAATCATGGGTGGAAGGATGTTGAGGTTAATTTAATTACCATAATGGTGAATTGTACACCTCAAATGTCGCACATTTCCCGTTGTGGAGGGGTAAAGTTGTCTATACTTTATATGGAAAAAAAACATTTACAAGTATAACGTTTTTGGTCGATAATAACATTTTCATTAAAATTGTCCAGCAACACAGGCATTGAGGTTAAAAGTCAAATCTATACTTCTCATCACATACAGCACGAGTCTGGCGTTCCGTTCAGGAATATATCAAATAATGATTTAGGTAACCAGTGTTAAACGAAATTCTTTATTTACTTAAATATGAAGTATATATGTAACAGAGATCATTATTCATTTCAATGCTTCCTCTAGGGTTCGAAAACATGAACTTCACACTTGCTAGTCTGAGACTCCGCTGATCAGGTTAAAGAGACATTTTCTTCAGCCGACCAATTGATTGCGTTAAGGATCTATATATACAGGAGCTGGAATGAAGTTTCATTCAACGTGAAATTACATGAAACGAGCTTTATATGGTTTTTTTATGCAATTACAAGGGAAATTTATCCGCTGATCTCTGACAAATTGGTGTGCAGGTACGTCGTAGAGTGATCGGTAAAAATGACCAGACAAAATGTCAAATTCACAGTAACTAGAATGTCAGGATATCCAGGGGTCAGATTACAAAGGATATCAAAATACTCAGAGGTCAGATTAGTCAGAATGTCAGAATATCCAGGGGTCAGATTATAAAGATACCAAACCACACGCGGTCAGGTTATCCAGAATGTCAAAGTATCCAGGATTCAGATTACTATGGATATCAAAGACTAGGGGTCAGATTAGTCAAAATATCAGGATATCCAGTAATTTTATTTCACAAGGTATAGAATATACAATTCACAGATTAAACAAGATGGAGGAATGCTCAGGAGTCAAACTATACAGGACATGAGAATATTCAGGTGTCAAGTTGGACACGTGATCAGAGCTAATCATCAAGAGATGGCAAATTTCCCATCCCAGGCGCTGTCCATTTATATATGTTTGTGAGGTTTAGGTCATTTATTGCTTGTAAACACAATATGTTGCCATAGAGCCAAGATCTTGTCAACAATGGCAATTATTAAGGCTTTTTTTTTTACCAGGGTATCGATTTCAAGGGACATAATCTTACAATGCAGCAATTATTTTTAGACCGATTTTCAGGATATGTATAATACCAGGATGTACATTTACATGGATACAATTCCAAATAAGAGGCATGATATGAATATATATATTAAGTTTCTGGTTTGGCCCAGTATATTCGGTTTATCACCTCCTGGAATTTTGCGAAATAAATGAGGTAAAAGTGGGGCTTTGGGGTACTAAAAGGGGGCAGGGTAAATCACAAATATGATCTGTTGTTTACAGAATTAGAAAACGATCAATATAATGCAATTTAGATAGGAATATAAAAAATGTGAAAGTTCAATTGTCACTGAAGACATCATTTGTATATAATGGTGTATTAAGTCAGGAGATTATTTAAGATCATCTTCAGTTAAAACATATATTGTCTACTCAATCATTTCCTTTCTGATTCATATATGATTTTAAATTGGCAACTTTCCATATTAGCTACACTGTTTCTTTGTATTGAGTTTTGACTTCTCAAACATCTCAAACTTGGTAATTTCAAATGTCACTGCACCTGAAATGGCCTGAAAGGCGCAGGACATCCGTTTTATGTTATTAGTGTAAGATTTAGTATCAGTAAATAATGTATAATATACGCGTATCATTTGTTCTGCACCTGTGGCTGCAATGTGTTTCATGTCCTTATTTGTTTTAAAAACCTATATCTTATAAATACAAAGTTTACAACTACAGTGGAAAGATAAATTTGATATGTCTTATATGCAGGTAATTTAAGTCTTCTAGCCATAAGGAAATAATTTGTTTTAGTTGTTAATGTTAACCCGTCTCATCGTCTCCATGTTGATGCCTTTAATAAGCACACCGTTTAATACAGATTTTGGAAAACGTGGCTTGGAGTGCATGTCCTTGCACAATACCAAGTATTTCCTTTATATTATCTAGATATTACATATAAATGTATGTACACGTTACTGAAACAAGTTCAGAGTGTAAGTATAGCTTGTTTACATGACCAATATTAGGCATTGGTACTACTGCTTATGTAAAGATTTTTCAAAGTTGAATTTGCACTTTGCTTTCTTGGTCACTATCAGCACTTCCGATAAATAAACAAAAGACATTGCTATACTGCCATCTACATCCACGGTTGACAGTATTAGTAAACTTGCTTTCATGGACAACATTGTCAAATTGCTTTCTTCCGTCCCATTGATAAGTACGAAAGCAATTACAAATCATCCCAATATGATTGCTTTGCAGTTGCCTTCCATGATAGTATGCTGACAACGATATTTTATGTTGTGAAGTTATACTGGATGAACATTTAAGCATTGGTCTTTGTTTACATTGCTCTCGTTTGGGAAAGAGACATTACTTAATTTAATTGACCAATATTTACACAACAGTTGTCGTCGAAGAAGTTGAAGACGCTTACTTTTCCAGATCACCTGGTCTTAGTCTCCTCGCCCTTTTTCGGAAGTCTACATGTAAGTCTTTTATATTTTGCTCTAGTTTCAACGAATTTAAGTTTAAGTTAACATTTTGTTTTACAGGTTGACATTTTCTGTCTTGTTTTCACAAAATAAGAGGAAAAAGATAGAAGATAATTTTATTAGAAATACAATAATTTAAACAGTTATAAACATAGATAATCCAGTTCAATTTATTATCAACAATGATTTCCATGAATGCTGCTTGACATTTGGCAATGGGTTCTAGAAAGCATGCCTAAAATCTTCATAACAGTATTAACAAAACCAGATAAAAATTGATCTTTCTTCGCTACATAACACGTGGTCAGTAGAAAGCAGTTACTTAAAATTTGTAACGTTGATATACAAATAATAATATATGAATGTATTTATATATATCAACCTACTCTTCTTAATTGCACATTTTTCAGACAAATATCTAAAACTTTAGTAAAAACATTATCATATCGTGATATACCTCCATGGTGTATATGAGTCATTATAGAAATACAGAAAACAATTGGGTATTTTTTAGATTTCTTTTTCGTTTTCAATCACTGAATGAGGGATATGTTATGACACATTTTGTTATTTTTGAAAGAAAAAAAAAGAAAAAAACCATTTTCGAACACCAACAATTGGTCCCTTCCTTGATTCTTCGTGCTTTTGCAAGGAGGCATGCTATTAATCCTAGAAAGTAATTAGATTATCGCTCACAAATTATCAGAGAATCATGTCAGTTTAGGTTTTCTAAAAAGTTTTATTCTAAATTTTACATACAACTATTTTTGAGCAAATTTGACCAATCAAATACAAAAACTGTTTCAGGATTAGATCGATATAATTTTGTCTTCATTTCAAGCTCAAAGAAGAAAATAAGAGGTTAAGATTATCAATTATCTGGAAATAAATTACATTTATGTTTGAATTCGTATCAATTTAAGCAAAAACTATATTGTATATTTCTGCAACAGATGGAAACTGATCAAATGTTCTTTATATATGTGCATAAACTACAAAATTAAAAAAAGAAAGCATCTGAATGAAAACAGCATTCGGCAAATAGTTTGATCTTGCTATAAAAAGAATAAACACTTCATTTCTTTTTCCCAGCACCATAACACTGTTCCAAATATTCCAAATTCAATGGGAAGCACTCTAAACGTATGAATTCTTAGATATATGTATACTACAGACAAGAAAACAGTATAAAGATATAACACATCCATTACGAGGGATGAATGTCATGAACGAGCCGTTTATTTCCTTTTGCCGGTGTAATATGTTAGTGACGAAAGCGTGTCGTTACTGATCCAATGTGGTTTGTCACTGGCGGAAAGTTGATACAGCCTATTGTTATATGCCATACTACCCACCATGGACGAAGGCATTTGGTTTTCACTTTCAAACGTCGGTGTTGATGTCCTCATATCTCCAGTGGTTTGTAGTCGTGGGATCAGTTGCCGAGGCTTCATTTCATTTCCAGACTCCACATGGGTCAGGGATTCATATCTGCGCCAATTGTTTTCGCCTGTTCTCGTGGTACAGTCATCCGATCCCACTGAAGTTTTCGTCAGATGTTCTGATGAAGTATAGAAAAGCAATATATAACATTTGTAGGTTTACATTTGTAAGAAAAGGAAACAATAGGTATCGTAAAAAGATATTTATACCTGATAGCTCTTGTTTCCGTATCTTCCAACATTTACAGACGATGACCATGAAAATAATCCCAAAAAGAACGACAACAGGAGTCACCACTATCACAATAACCACGGGAAAAGATATTCTCTCACTTTCCGGTGAAGATGTCGTCTCTGTAGCCGCTTTGTCGCTCGTCGAAGACGATGTCGTCGTGTACGTAGCTGCTTTGTCGCTCGTCGAAGACGCTGTCGTCGTGTACGTAGCTGCTTTGTCGCTCGTCGAAGACGCTGTCGTCGTGTACGTAGCTGCTTTGTCGCTCGTCGGAGACGCTGTCGTCGTGTACGTAGCTGCTTTGTCGCTCGTCGGAGACGCTGTCGTCGTGTACGTAGCTGCTTTGTCGCTCGTCGGAGACGCTGTCGTCGTGTACGTAGCTGCTTTGTCGCTCGTCGGAGACGCTGTCGTCGTGTACGTAGCTGCTTTGTCGCTCGTCGAAGACGCTGTCGTCGTGTACGTAGCTGCTTTGTCGCTCGTCGGAGACGCTGTCGTCGTGTACGTAGCTGCTTTGTCGCTCGTCGAAGACGCTGTCGTCGTGTACGTAGCTGTTTTATTGTTCACTGAAGGAAAAAGTCATTATGACAATTTCATAACCCTAGAGGTAGTATAACAATGTTAAATGGGAGGTGAACTGGCCATATCATTCAGTAAATATCATAAATTTCATATACCTACTAACGACGATTATGTACGTACGTGTGTAAATGACAATGATAACCAAGTCAAAGTTAAATTGTTATGAGGTTCTCTTCATAATCATCATACATTCAGTCTTGTGCCACGAAAGTGTTTTCGCTCATTGGATATACTTATTTCTCCTCAACACACGTTTTAAAAGATATCTTTATTTGGATTACTTCAAAAAAGTGAGATATTTCTATAAAAAGGTTGATAAGTTTCTAGAATGTTTTTCAAGCCTTTTATTACATTTTGGAAAGGAAATAATGTTAAAATTATCCGAACAACGTCATTCAGATAACTCAATGAAAATGGCCTACCTGTGGTACTTGAGGATGACGTAGAAGGAGTCGCATCGTTTCCCTTAGTTTTCTGGTAATTCATATCAAAATACATGCTGATTATGAACATTATATGAAAATATGAACTTTTTTTCGCGATGACATAAGGAAATATCTCTCATTCCATTCCGTAAATGATATATTAACTGAGACAAAGTTTTTTTCTTATCATTATTTTATTTCAACGAGTCTTTGTTAATCTACAGATCAAATATGAACTGTTGCGTAAATCAAATATCAAATGGAAATGAAATAAACATACTTATCCTTGAATTATTAAGGAAAATATTTTATCAATTTCTGAATATATACATATATGGTCTCCATTGCTACTTTACAATGCAATGTGTAACTATGTGACGTTATTCGATTATCAAAAACTATCATAAAAATATGGAAGGTTATTAGATACATGTGAAACACACAAACAATATATATATGGGAATATTCAATGAACAACAAGGCAAGCAAGTGATAAATGTATATTTATACTAGACAATATCGTTCACTCCATGATTTTATATATATTTTATATATATAGAAGGTTATTAAATACATGTGTAATTCACTAACAATATATATGGGAATATGGGAATATTCAATGAACAACAAGGCAAGCAAGTGATCAAATGTATATACTACTGTAACAGGGTTGTCACTCACTGAATACGATGCCGTTGACACCGTAGCAGTTTTGTCACTCCCTGAAGGCGATGCCGTTGTCTCTGTAGCAGTTTTGTCAGTCCCTGAACGCGATGCCGTTGTCTCTGTAGCAGTTTTGTCGGTCCCTGACGGCGATGCCGTTGTCTCTGTAGCAGTTTTGTCAGTCCCTGAAGGCGATGCCGTTGTCACCGTTGTCGCTTTGTCACTGACTGAAGGAGAAAATCATTACGACAATTTCATAACCCATAGAATTGCAAATATATAGAAATATGTAACCGCAATGGCACACATCATTTTTTTCAATTGTTACTAGTGACGACAAACGATTTATATGTAAGAGTACGAGAACGAAAGAAACAAAGAAATACATAGAAAAACCTACCTACAAAATGGTAAAGACATAGAACATATACAAATGACATTTCATATCACTGACGACAAAGATATGACCAGCTTGGACTTTTCAACATACGACTTGTGTTAGTTCCCTCTCGGTTTTGGATACCGCAATTCACTTATATTTCGCTAACTTAACTCTTCCTTCGAACATATTTGCAAATACACAATTTCTTTGCCGTTGATCTAGATCTGGACATTTATTCGAGAATGATTCGCTATTAGAGACATGAACACTTTAAAACTCCAGTGGTGTTATTCGAATCAACACCCACACTTATTTTCATACAAATAGGTTATTTGAATTCGCTAGTGACTCACTTCCCATGCGAAATATTAATGATTAACAGTAGTGCATTTGAAATCTGTAACATACTGGTAGATTTCACTTTGAACATTTGGTGCTGTAGGAAACAAATACGAGATACAGTATATTGTAAGTACATATAGATTGTTGTACACATATAACTGATGGAATAGGTCATTATTGCCAATGCCGTAATTATATGCATGGTGACTTTATTTAATTCAGCGCGCTACTCACATAATCACTTACCTTTATCAAAAATATCGTTGCTTCAGGAGTATGCTTACCTTTGTAACAGTATGACCTTCCAAATTGAATTTCGTTATAAGTCTTTTTGTTATATAGAGTTTATCGCTCTTGCATTTAGCAGGGTAAGACATAACTGAGTACTTGGGGGAAACATCAGTAAGTTATGTCAGGGCAGATGATTGGGGAAAACAACAGTAAGTTATGTTAGGACAGGTGATTGGGGAAAACAACATTATCAATGTTAGGACAGATGACTGGGGAAAACAATAGTCAGGTCAGGGTTATAATATAAGGGGTCTATTGGGGTGAAGGATTAGCTTAAATCGGGTGTCTGGGGTGAAAACGACTTTTACATTTATGTAGATGAGACATAAACATCCTTGTTGTTTCAAGGATAACGTTTTTCTATTTTCGTTAATAAAAAGACGATATTTTATTTGCAACTACATTTCATACATTCAGTAGCACCTGCATGGTATTGTACAAAAAGACACAAGCAAATGAAATCTTTTGATATGAATTGATATGAGATGAAGTAGAGCTTAACAATGAATCAATCTGCATCATACAACTGTTTCGTCCTTTTACGACTCGTCAATGACAATAAGTTCCTAAATGTTGAAACCTTGAAGGCAACTGAGGAAAATTGAAAGACCAAATCTATTTTGGGAGGTGAACTGGCCATATCATTCAGTAAATATCGTTAACTTCATATACCTACTAACGACGAGTATGTGTATACATGTGCAAATGAGAATGATAACCAAGTCGAAGTTAAATTGTAATGAGGTTTACTTCATAATCATCGTACATTCGAGCTCAGTCTTGTGTCACGAAAGTGTTTTTGCTAATTAGATATACTTATTTGGATGATTTCAAAACAGGTAAGTTATTTCTTTAAACAGGTTTTTCAATCTTTTTTTATATTTGTAACCGCAATGGTAATGTGTGAATGTTGGTAAGGAAATATTGTTAAAATTAGTCGAATTACGTCATTCAATGAAAACGGCCTACCTGTGGTACTTGAGGATGACGTAGAAGAAGGCCCATTGTTTCCCTTAGGTTGCTGGTAATTCAAATGAAAATGCATCCTGATTATGAGCATCAGATGAAGATATGCAACTTTTTTTCGCGGTGGCATAAGGAAATATCTCTCATTCCATTCCGTAAATGATATATTAACTGAGACAAATTTTTTTTCTTATCATTATTTTATTTCAACGAGTCTTTGTTAAGCTACAGATCAAATATGAAATGACAATGAAGTAAACATACTTATTATCGAATTATTAAGGAAAATATTTTATCAATTTCGGATATATACATATATGGTCTCCATTGATACTTTACAATGTAATATGTAACTATGTGACGTTATACGATTATCAAAACCTATCATGAGAAATACAGAAGGTTATTAAATACATGTGTAATTCACTAACAATATATATGGGAATATGGGAATATTCAATGAACAACAAGGCAAGCAAGTGATCAAATGTATATACTACTGTAACAGGGTTGTCACTCACTGAATACGATGCCGTTGACACCGTAGCAGTTTTGTCACTCCCTGAAGGCGATGCCGTTGTCTCTGTAGCAGTTTTGTCAGTCCCTGAACGCGATGCCGTTGTCTCTGTAGCAGTTTTGTCGGTCCCTGACGGCGATGCCGTTGTCTCTGTAGCAGTTTTGTCAGTCCCTGAAGGCGATGCCGTTGTCACCGTTGTCGCTTTGTCACTGACTGAAGGAGAAAATCATTACGACAATTTCATAACCCATAGAATTGCAAATATATAGAAATATGTAACCGCAATGGCACACATCATTTTTTTCAATTGTTACTAGTGACGACAAACGATTTATATGTAAGAGTACGAGAACGAAAGAAACAAAGAAATACATAGAAAAACCTACCTACAAAATGGTAAAGACATAGAACATATACAAATGACATTTCATATCACTGACGACAAAGATATGACCAGCTTGGACTTTTCAACATACGACTTGTGTTAGTTCCCTCTCGGTTTTGGATACCGCAATTCACTTATATTTCGCTAACTTAACTCTTCCTTCGAACATATTTGCAAATACACAATTTCTTTGCCGTTGATCTAGATCTGGACATTTATTCGAGAATGATTCGCTATTAGAGACATGAACACTTTAAAACTCCAGTGGTGTTATTCGAATCAACAACCACACTTATTTTCATACAAATAGGTTATTTGAATTCGCTAGTGACTCATTTCGACTTAATGAAAATAATTCCCATGAGAAATATTAAGGATTAACAGTAGTGCATTTTAAACCTGTAACATACTGGTAGATTTCACCTTGAACATTTGGTGCTGTAGTAAACAAATACGAGATACAGTATATTGTAAGTACATATAGATTGTTGTACACATATAACTGATGGAATAGGTCATTATTGCCAATGCCGTAATTATATGCATGGTGACTTTATTTAATTCAGCGCGCTACTCACATAATCACTTACCTTTATCAAAAATATCGTTGCTTCAGGAGTATGCTTACCTTTGTAACAGTATGACCTTCCAAATTGAATTTCGTTATAAGTCTTTTTGTTATATAGAGTTTATCGCTCTTGCATTTAGCAGGGTAAGACATAACTGAGTACTTGGGGGAAACATCAGTAAGTTATGTCAGGGCAGATGATTGGGGAAAACAACAGTAAGTTATGTTAGGACAGGTGATTGGGGAAAACAACATTATCAATGTTAGGACAGATGACTGGGGAAAACAATAGTCAGGTCAGGGTTATAATATAAGGGGTCTATTGGGGTGAAGGATTAGCTTAAATCGGGTGTCTGGGGTGAAAACGACTTTTACATTTATGTAGATGAGACATAAACATCCTTGTTGTTTCAAGGATAACGTTTTTCTATTTTCGTTAATAAAAAGACGATATTTTATTTGCAACTACATTTCATACATTCAGTAGCACCTGCATGGTATTGTACAAAAAGACACAAGCAAATGAAATCTTTTGATATGAATTGATATGAGATGAAGTAGAGCTTAACAATGAATCAATCTGCATCATACAACTGTTTCGTCCTTTTACGACTCGTCAATGACAATAAGTTCCTAAATGTTGAAACCTTGAAGGCAACTGAGGAAAATTGAAAGACCAAATCTATTTTGGGAGGTGAACTGGCCATATCATTCAGTAAATATCGTTAACTTCATATACCTACTAACGACGAGTATGTGTATACATGTGCAAATGAGAATGATAACCAAGTCGAAGTTAAATTGTAATGAGGTTTACTTCATAATCATCGTACATTCGAGCTCAGTCTTGTGTCACGAAAGTGTTTTTGCTAATTAGATATACTTATTTGGATGATTTCAAAACAGGTAAGTTATTTCTTTAAACAGGTTTTTCAATCTTTTTTTATATTTGTAACCGCAATGGTAATGTGTGAATGTTGGTAAGGAAATATTGTTAAAATTAGTCGAATTACGTCATTCAATGAAAACGGCCTACCTGTGGTACTTGAGGATGACGTAGAAGAAGGCCCATTGTTTCCCTTAGGTTGCTGGTAATTCAAATAAAAATGCATCCTGATTATGAGCATCAGATGAAGATATGCAACTTTTTTTCGCAGTGGCATAAGGAAATATCTCTCATTCCATTCCGTAAATGATATATTAACTGAGACAAAGTTTTTTTCTTATCATTATTTTATTTCAACGAGTCTTTGTTAATCTACAGATCAAATATGAAATGACAATGAAGTAAACATACTTATTATCGAATTATTAAGGAAAATATTTTATCAATTTCGGATATATACATATATGGTCTCCATTGATACTTTACAATGTAATATGTAACTATGTGACGTTATACGATTATCAAAACCTATCATGAGAAATACAGAAGGTTATTAAATACATGTGTAATTCACTAACAATATATATGGGAATATGGGAATATTCAATGAACAACAAGGCAAGCAAGTGATCAAATGTATATACTACTGTAACAGGGTTGTCACTCACTGAATACGATGCCGTTGACACCGTAGCAGTTTTGTCACTCCCTGAAGGCGATGCCGTTGTCTCAGTTTTGTAGCAGTTTTGTCAGTCCCTGAACGCGATGCCGTTGTCTCTGTAGCAGTTTTGTCGGTCCCTGACGGCGAGGCCGTTGTCTCTGTAGCAGTTTTGTCAGTCCCTGAAGGCGATGCCGTTGTCACCGTTGTCGCTTTGTCACTGACTGAAGGAGAAAATCATTACGACAATTTCATAACCCATAGAATTGCAAATATATAGAAATATGTAACCGCAATGGCACACATCATTTTTTTCAATTGTTACTAGTGACGACAAACGATTTATATGTAAGAGTACGAGAACGAAAGAAACAAAGAAATACATAGAAAAACCTACCTACAAAATGGTAAAGACATAGAACATATACAAATGACATTTCATATCACTGACGACAAAGATATGACCAGCTTGGACTTTTCAACATACGACTTGTGTTAGTTCCCTCTCGGTTTTGGATACCGCAATTCACTTATATTTCGCTAACTTAACTCTTCCTTCGAACATATTTGCAAATACACAATTTCTTTGCCGTTGATCTAGATCTGGACATTTATTCGAGAATGATTCGCTATTAGAGACATGAACACTTTAAAACTCCAGTGGTGTTATTCGAATCAACAACCACACTTATTTTCATACAAATAGGTTATTTGAATTCGCTAGTGACTCATTTCGACTTAATGAAAATAATTCCCATGAGAAATATTAAGGATTAACAGTAGTGCATTTTAAACCTGTAACATACTGGTAGATTTCACCTTGAACATTTGGTGCTGTAGTAAACAAATACGAGATACAGTATATTGTAAGTACATATAGATTGTTGTACACATATAACTGATGGAATAGGTCATTATTGCCAATGCCGTAATTATATGCATGGTGACTTTATTTAATTCAGCGCGCTACTCACATAATCACTTACCTTTATCAAAAATATCGTTGCTTCAGGAGTATGCTTACCTTTGTAACAGTATGACCTTCCAAATTGAATTTCGTTATAAGTCTTTTTGTTATATAGAGTTTATCGCTCTTGCATTTAGCAGGGTAAGACATAACTGAGTACTTGGGGGAAACATCAATAAGTTATGTCAGGGCAGATGATTGGGGAAAACAACAGTAAGTTATGTTAGGACAGGTGATTGGGGAAAACAACATTATCAATGTTAGGACAGATGACTGGGGAAAACAATAGTCAGGTCAGGGTTATAATATAAGGGGTCTATTGGGGTGAAGGATTAGCTTAAATCGGGTGTCTGGGGTGAAAACGACTTTTACATTTATGTAGATGAGACATCGACATCCTTGTTGTTTCAAGGATAACGTTTTTCTATTTTCGTTAATAAAAAGACGATATTTTATTTGCAACTACATTTCATACATTCAGTAGCACCTGCATGGTATTGTACAAAAAGACACAAGCAAATGACATCTTTTGATATGAATTGATATGAGATGAAGTAGAGCTTAACAATGAATCAATCTGCATCATACAACTGTTTCGTCCTTTTACGACTCGTCAATGACAATAAGTTCCTAAATGTTGAAACCTTGAAGGCAACTGAGGAAAATTGAAAGACCAAATCTATTTTGGGAGGTGAACTGGCCATATCATTCAGTAAATATCGTTAACTTCATATACCTACTAACGACGAGTATGTGTATACATGTGCAAATGAGAATGATAACCAAGTCGAAGTTAAATTGTAATGAGGTTTACTTCATAATCATCGTACATTCGAGCTCAGTCTTGTGTCACGAAAGTGTTTTTGCTAATTAGATATACTTATTTGGATGATTTCAAAACAGGTAAGTTATTTCTTTAAACAGGTTTTTCAATCTTTTTTTATATTTGTAACCGCAATGGTAATGTGTGAATGTTGGTAAGGAAATATTGTTAAAATTAGTCGAATTACGTCATTCAATGAAAACGGCCTACCTGTGGTACTTGAGGATGACGTAGAAGAAGGCCCATTGTTTCCCTTAGGTTGCTGGTAATTCAAATGAAAATGCATCCTGATTATGAGCATCAGATGAAGATATGCAACTTTTTTTCGCGGTGGCATAAGGAAATATCTCTCATTCCATTCCGTAAATGATATATTAACTGAGACAAATTTTTTTTCTTATCATTATTTTATTTCAACGAGTCTTTGTTAAGCTACAGATCAAATATGAAATGACAATGAAGTAAACATACTTATTATCGAATTATTAAGGAAAATATTTTATCAATTTCGGATATATACATATATGGTCTCCATTGATACTTTACAATGTAATATGTAACTATGTGACGTTATACGATTATCAAAACCTATCATGAGAAATACAGAAGGTTATTAAATACATGTGTAATTCACTAACAATATATATGGGAATATGGGAATATTCAATGAACAACAAGGCAAGCAAGTGATCAAATGTATATACTACTGTAACAGGGTTGTCACTCACTGAATACGATGCCGTTGACACCGTAGCAGTTTTGTCACTCCCTGAAGGCGATGCCGTTGTCTCTGTAGCAATTTTGTCAGTCCCTGAACGCGATGCCGTTGTCTCTGTAGCAGTTTTGTCGGTCCCTGACGGCGATGCCGTTGTCTCTGTAGCAGTTTTGTCAGTCCCTGAAGGCGATGCCGTTGTCACCGTTGTCGCTTTGTCACTGACTGAAGGAGAAAATCATTACGACAATTTCATAACCCATAGAATTGCAAATATATAGAAATATGTAACCGCAATGGCACACATCATTTTTTTCAATTGTTACTAGTGACGACAAACGATTTATATGTAAGAGTACGAGAACGAAAGAAACAAAGAAATACATAGAAAAACCTACCTACAAAATGGTAAAGACATAGAACATATACAAATGACATTTCATATCACTGACGACAAAGATATGACCAGCTTGGACTTTTCAACATACGACTTGTGTTAGTTCCCTCTCGGTTTTGGATACCGCAATTCACTTATATTTCGCTAACTTAACTCTTCCTTCGAACATATTTGCAAATACACAATTTCTTTGCCGTTGATCTAGATCTGGACATTTATTCGAGAATGATTCGCTATTAGAGACATGAACACTTTAAAACTCCAGTGGTGTTATTCGAATCAACAACCACACTTATTTTCATACAAATAGGTTATTTGAATTCGCTAGTGACTCATTTCGACTTAATGAAAATAATTCCCATGAGAAATATTAAGGATTAACAGTAGTGCATTTTAAACCTGTAACATACTGGTAGATTTCACCTTGAACATTTGGTGCTGTAGTAAACAAATACGAGATACAGTATATTGTAAGTACATATAGATTGTTGTACACATATAACTGATGGAATAGGTCATTATTGCCAATGCCGTAATTATATGCATGGTGACTTTATTTAATTCAGCGCGCTACTCACATAATCACTTACCTTTATCAAAAATATCGTTGCTTCAGGAGTATGCTTACCTTTGTAACAGTATGACCTTCCAAATTGAATTTCGTTATAAGTCTTTTTGTTATATAGAGTTTATCGCTCTTGCATTTAGCAGGGTAAGACATAACTGAGTACTTGGGGGAAACATCAGTAAGTTATGTCAGGGCAGATGATTGGGGAAAACAACAGTAAGTTATGTTAGGACAGGTGATTGGGGAAAACAACATTATCAATGTTAGGACAGATGACTGGGGAAAACAATAGTCAGGTCAGGGTTATAATATAAGGGGTCTATTGGGGTGAAGGATTAGCTTAAATCGGGTGTCTGGGGTGAAAACGACTTTTACATTTATGTAGATGAGACATAAACATCCTTGTTGTTTCAAGGATAACGTTTTTCTATTTTCGTTAATAAAAAGACGATATTTTATTTGCAACTACATTTCATACATTCAGTAGCACCTGCATGGTATTGTACAAAAAGACACAAGCAAATGAAATCTTTTGATATGAATTGATATGAGATGAAGTAGAGCTTAACAATGAATCAATCTGCATCATACAACTGTTTCGTCCTTTTACGACTCGTCAATGACAATAAGTTCCTAAATGTTGAAACCTTGAAGGCAACTGAGGAAAATTGAAAGACCAAATCTATTTTGGGAGGTGAACTGGCCATATCATTCAGTAAATATCGTTAACTTCATATACCTACTAACGACGAGTATGTGTATACATGTGCAAATGAGAATGATAACCAAGTCGAAGTTAAATTGTAATGAGGTTTACTTCATAATCATCGTACATTCGAGCTCAGTCTTGTGTCACGAAAGTGTTTTTGCTAATTAGATATACTTATTTGGATGATTTCAAAACAGGTAAGTTATTTCTTTAAACAGGTTTTTCAATCTTTTTTTATATTTGTAACCGCAATGGTAATGTGTGAATGTTGGTAAGGAAATATTGTTAAAATTAGTCGAATTACGTCATTCAATGAAAACGGCCTACCTGTGGTACTTGAGGATGACGTAGAAGAAGGCCCATTGTTTCCCTTAGGTTGCTGGTAATTCAAATGAAAATGCATCCTGATTATGAGCATCAGATGAAGATATGCAACTTTTTTTCGCGGTGGCATAAGGAAATATCTCTCATTCCATTCCGTAAATGATATATTAACTGAGACAAATTTTTTTTCTTATCATTATTTTATTTCAACGAGTCTTTGTTAAGCTACAGATCAAATATGAAATGACAATGAAGTAAACATACTTATTATCGAATTATTAAGGAAAATATTTTATCAATTTCGGATATATACATATATGGTCTCCATTGATACTTTACAATGTAATATGTAACTATGTGACGTTATACGATTATCAAAACCTATCATGAGAAATACAGAAGGTTATTAAATACATGTGTAATTCACTAACAATATATATGGGAATATGGGAATATTCAATGAACAACAAGGCAAGCAAGTGATCAAATGTATATACTACTGTAACAGGGTTGTCACTCACTGAATACGATGCCGTTGACACCGTAGCAGTTTTGTCACTCCCTGAAGGCGATGCCGTTGTCTCTGTAGCAGTTTTGTCAGTCCCTGAACGCGATGCCGTTGTCTCTGTAGCAGTTTTGTCGGTCCCTGACGGCGATGCCGTTGTCTCTGTAGCAGTTTTGTCAGTCCCTGAAGGCGATGCCGTTGTCACCGTTGTCGCTTTGTCACTGACTGAAGGAGAAAATCATTACGACAATTTCATAACCCATAGAATTGCAAATATATAGAAATATGTAACCGCAATGGCACACATCATTTTTTTCAATTGTTACTAGTGACGACAAACGATTTATATGTAAGAGTACGAGAACGAAAGAAACAAAGAAATACATAGAAAAACCTACCTACAAAATGGTAAAGACATAGAACATATACAAATGACATTTCATATCACTGACGACAAAGATATGACCAGCTTGGACTTTTCAACATACGACTTGTGTTAGTTCCCTCTCGGTTTTGGATACCGCAATTCACTTATATTTCGCTAACTTAACTCTTCCTTCGAACATATTTGCAAATACACAATTTCTTTGCCGTTGATCTAGATCTGGACATTTATTCGAGAATGATTCGCTATTAGAGACATGAACACTTTAAAACTCCAGTGGTGTTATTCGAATCAACAACCACACTTATTTTCATACAAATAGGTTATTTGAATTCGCTAGTGACTCATTTCGACTTAATGAAAATAATTCCCATGAGAAATATTAAGGATTAACAGTAGTGCATTTTAAACCTGTAACATACTGGTAGATTTCACCTTGAACATTTGGTGCTGTAGTAAACAAATACGAGATACAGTATATTGTAAGTACATATAGATTGTTGTACACATATAACTGATGGAATAGGTCATTATTGCCAATGCCGTAATTATATGCATGGTGACTTTATTTAATTCAGCGCGCTACTCACATAATCACTTACCTTTATCAAAAATATCGTTGCTTCAGGAGTATGCTTACCTTTGTAACAGTATGACCTTCCAAATTGAATTTCGTTATAAGTCTTTTTGTTATATAGAGTTTATCGCTCTTGCATTTAGCAGGGTAAGACATAACTGAGTACTTGGGGGAAACATCAATAAGTTATGTCAGGGCAGATGATTGGGGAAAACAACAGTAAGTTATGTTAGGACAGGTGATTGGGGAAAACAACATTATCAATGTTAGGACAGATGACTGGGGAAAACAATAGTCAGGTCAGGGTTATAATATAAGGGGTCTATTGGGGTGAAGGATTAGCTTAAATCGGGTGTCTGGGGTGAAAACGACTTTTACATTTATGTAGATGAGACATCGACATCCTTGTTGTTTCAAGGATAACGTTTTTCTATTTTCGTTAATAAAAAGACGATATTTTATTTGCAACTACATTTCATACATTCAGTAGCACCTGCATGGTATTGTACAAAAAGACACAAGCAAATGACATCTTTTGATATGAATTGATATGAGATGAAGTAGAGCTTAACAATGAATCAATCTGCATCATACAACTGTTTCGTCCTTTTACGACTCGTCAATGACAATAAGTTCCTAAATGTTGAAACCTTGAAGGCAACTGAGGAAAATTGAAAGACCAAATCTATTTTGGGAGGTGAACTGGCCATATCATTCAGTAAATATCGTTAACTTCATATACCTACTAACGACGAGTATGTGTATACATGTGCAAATGAGAATGATAACCAAGTCGAAGTTAAATTGTAATGAGGTTTACTTCATAATCATCGTACATTCGAGCTCAGTCTTGTGTCACGAAAGTGTTTTTGCTAATTAGATATACTTATTTGGATGATTTCAAAACAGGTAAGTTATTTCTTTAAACAGGTTTTTCAATCTTTTTTTATATTTGTAACCGCAATGGTAATGTGTGAATGTTGGTAAGGAAATATTGTTAAAATTAGTCGAATTACGTCATTCAATGAAAACGGCCTACCTGTGGTACTTGAGGATGACGTAGAAGAAGGCCCATTGTTTCCCTTAGGTTGCTGGTAATTCAAATGAAAATGCATCCTGATTATGAGCATCAGATGAAGATATGCAACTTTTTTTCGCGGTGGCATAAGGAAATATCTCTCATTCCATTCCGTAAATGATATATTAACTGAGACAAATTTTTTTTCTTATCATTATTTTATTTCAACGAGTCTTTGTTAAGCTACAGATCAAATATGAAATGACAATGAAGTAAACATACTTATTATCGAATTATTAAGGAAAATATTTTATCAATTTCGGATATATACATATATGGTCTCCATTGATACTTTACAATGTAATATGTAACTATGTGACGTTATACGATTATCAAAACCTATCATGAGAAATACAGAAGGTTATTAAATACATGTGTAATTCACTAACAATATATATGGGAATATGGGAATATTCAATGAACAACAAGGCAAGCAAGTGATCAAATGTATATACTACTGTAACAGGGTTGTCACTCACTGAATACGATGCCGTTGACACCGTAGCAGTTTTGTCACTCCCTGAAGGCGATGCCGTTGTCTCTGTAGCAGTTTTGTCAGTCCCTGAACGCGATGCCGTTGTCTCTGTAGCAGTTTTGTCGGTCCCTGACGGCGATGCCGTTGTCTCTGTAGCAGTTTTGTCAGTCCCTGAAGGCGATGCCGTTGTCACCGTTGTCGCTTTGTCACTGACTGAAGGAGAAAATCATTACGACAATTTCATAACCCATAGAATTGCAAATATATAGAAATATGTAACCGCAATGGCACACATCATTTTTTTCAATTGTTACTAGTGACGACAAACGATTTATATGTAAGAGTACGAGAACGAAAGAAACAAAGAAATACATAGACAAACCTACCTACAAAATGGTAAAGACATAGAACATACACTAAATGACATTTCATATCACTGACGACAAAGCTATGACCACCTTGGAATTTTCATCATACGACTTGTGATAGATCACTCTCGGTTTTGAATACTGAAATTCACTTATATTTCGCTAACTTAACTCTTCGAACATATTCGCAAATACACAATTTCTTTGCCGTTGATCTAGATCTGGACATTTATTCGAGAATGATTCGCTATTAGAGACATGAACACTTTAAAACTCCAGTGGTGTTATTCGAATCAACAACCACACTTATTTTCATACAAATAGGTTATTTGAATTCGCTAGTGACTCATTTCGACTTAATGAAAATAATTCCCATGAGAAATATTAAGGATTAACAGTAGTGCATTTTAAACCTGTAACATACTGGTAGATTTCACCTTGAACATTTGGTGCTGTAGTAAACAAATACGAGATACAGTATATTGTAAGTACATATAGATTGTTGTACACATATAACTGATGGAATAGGTCATTATTGCCAATGCCGTAATTATATGCATGGTGACTTTATTTAATTCAGCGCGCTACTCACATAATCACTTACCTTTATCAAAAATATCGTTGCTTCAGGAGTATGCTTACCTTTGTAACAGTATGACCTTCCAAATTGAATTTCGTTATAAGTCTTTTTGTTATATAGAGTTTATCGCTCTTGCATTTAGCAGGGTAAGACATAACTGAGTACTTGGGGGAAACATCAGTAAGTTATGTCAGGGCAGATGATTGGGGAAAACAACAGTAAGTTATGTTAGGACAGGTGATTGGGGAAAACAACATTATCAATGTTAGGACAGATGACTGGGGAAAACAATAGTCAGGTCAGGGTTATAATATAAGGGGTCTATTGGGGTGAAGGATTAGCTTAAATCGGGTGTCTGGGGAGAAAACGACTTTTACATTTATGTAGATGAGACATCAACATCCTTGTTGTTTCAAGGATAACGTTTTTCTATTTTCGTTAATAAAAAGACGATATTTTATTTGCAACTACATTTCATACATTCAGTAGCACCTGCATGGTATTGTACAAAAAGACACAAGCAAATGAAATCTTTTGATATGAATTGATATGAGATGAAGTAGAGCTTAACAATGAATCAATCTGCATCATACAACTGTTTCGTCCTTTTACGACTCGTCAATGACAATAAGTTCCTAAATGTTGAAACCTTGAAGGCAACTGAGGAAAATTGAAAGACCAAATCTATTTTGGGAGGTGAACTGGCCATATCATTCAGTAAATATCGTTAACTTCATATACCTACTAACGACGAGTATGTGTATACATGTGCAAATGAGAATGATAACCAAGTCGAAGTTAAATTGTAATGAGGTTTACTTCATAATCATCGTACATTCGAGCTCAGTCTTGTGTCACGAAAGTGTTTTTGCTAATTAGATATACTTATTTGGATGATTTCAAAACAGGTAAGTTATTTCTTTAAACAGGTTTTTCAATCTTTTTTTATATTTGTAACCGCAATGGTAATGTGTGAATGTTGGTAAGGAAATATTGTTAAAATTAGTCGAATTACGTCATTCAATGAAAACGGCCTACCTGTGGTACTTGAGGATGACGTAGAAGAAGGCCCATTGTTTCCCTTAGGTTGCTGGTAATTCAAATAAAAATGCATCCTGATTATGAGCATCAGATGAAGATATGCAACTTTTTTCGCGGTGGCATAAGGAAATATCTCTCATTCCATTCCGTAAATGATATATTAACTGAGACAAATTTTTTTTCTTATCATTATTTTATTTCAACGAGTCTTTGTTAAGCTACAGATCAAATATGAAATGACAATGAAGTAAACATACTTATTATCGAATTATTAAGGAAAATATTTTATCAATTTCGGATATATACATATATGGTCTCCATTGATACTTTACAATGTAATATGTAACTATGTGACGTTATACGATTATCAAAACCTATCATGAGAAATACAGAAGGTTATTAAATACATGTGTAATTCACTAACAATATATATGGGAATATGGGAATATTCAATGAACAACAAGGCAAGCAAGTGATCAAATGTATATACTACTGTAACAGGGTTGTCACTCACTGAATACGATGCCGTTGACACCGTAGCAGTTTTGTCACTCCCTGAAGGCGATGCCGTTGTCTCTGTAGCAGTTTTGTCAGTCCCTGAACGCGATGCCGTTGTCTCTGTAGCAGTTTTGTCGGTCCCTGAACGCGATGCCGTTGTCTCTGTAGCAGTTTTGTCGGTCCCTGACGGCGAGGCCGTTGTCTCTGTAGCAGTTTTGTCAGTCCCTGAAGGCGATGCCGTTGTCACCGTTGTCGCTTTGTCACTGACTGAAGGAGAAAATCATTACGACAATTTCATAACCCATAGAATTGCAAATATATAGAAATATGTAACCGCAATGGCACACATCATTTTTTTCAATTGTTACTAGTGACGACAAACGATTTATATGTAAGAGTACGAGAACGAAAGAAACAAAGAAATACATAGAAAAACCTACCTACAAAATGGTAAAGACATAGAACATATACAAATGACATTTCATATCACTGACGACAAAGATATGACCAGCTTGGACTTTTCAACATACGACTTGTGTTAGTTCCCTCTCGGTTTTGGATACCGCAATTCACTTATATTTCGCTAACTTAACTCTTCCTTCGAACATATTTGCAAATACACAATTTCTTTGCCGTTGATCTAGATCTGGACATTTATTCGAGAATGATTCGCTATTAGAGACATGAACACTTTAAAACTCCAGTGGTGTTATTCGAATCAACAACCACACTTATTTTCATACAAATAGGTTATTTGAATTCGCTAGTGACTCATTTCGACTTAATGAAAATAATTCCCATGAGAAATATTAAGGATTAACAGTAGTGCATTTTAAACCTGTAACATACTGGTAGATTTCACCTTGAACATTTGGTGCTGTAGTAAACAAATACGAGATACAGTATATTGTAAGTACATATAGATTGTTGTACACATATAACTGATGGAATAGGTCATTATTGCCAATGCCGTAATTATATGCATGGTGACTTTATTTAATTCAGCGCGCTACTCACATAATCACTTACCTTTATCAAAAATATCGTTGCTTCAGGAGTATGCTTACCTTTGTAACAGTATGACCTTCCAAATTGAATTTCGTTATAAGTCTTTTTGTTATATAGAGTTTATCGCTCTTGCATTTAGCAGGGTAAGACATAACTGAGTACTTGGGGGAAACATCAATAAGTTATGTCAGGGCAGATGATTGGGGAAAACAACAGTAAGTTATGTTAGGACAGGTGATTGGGGAAAACAACATTATCAATGTTAGGACAGATGACTGGGGAAAACAATAGTCAGGTCAGGGTTATAATATAAGGGGTCTATTGGGGTGAAGGATTAGCTTAAATCGGGTGTCTGGGGTGAAAACGACTTTTACATTTATGTAGATGAGACATCAACATCCTTGTTGTTTCAAGGATAACGTTTTTCTATTTTCGTTAATAAAAAGACGATATTTTATTTGCAACTACATTTCATACATTGATATAAGATGAAGTAGAGCTTAACAATGAATCAATCTGCATCATACAACTGTTTCGTCCTTTTACGACTCGTCAATGACAATAAGTTCCTAAATGTTGAAACCTTGAAGGCAACTGAGGAAAATTGAAAGACCAAATCTATTTTGGGAGGTGAACTGGCCATATCATTCAGTAAATATCGTTAATTTCATATACTTACTAACGACGAGTATGTGTATACATGTGCGAATGAGAATGATAACCAAGTTTAAGTTAAATTGTAATGAGGTTCTCTTCATAATTATCGTACATTCGAGCTCCGTCTTGTGTCACGAAAGTGGTTTCGCAAATTAAATATACTTATTTCTCCTACACTCACGTTTTAAAATATACCATTATTTGGATTATTTCAAAACAGGTAAGTAATTTCTTTAAACAGGTTTTTCAATCTTTTTTATATTTGTAACCACATTGGTAAGTGTTAATGTTGGTAAAGAAATATTGTTAAGTTAGTCGAATTACGTCATTCAGATTACTAAATGAAAGCGGCCTACCTGTGGTACTTGAGGATGACGTAGAAGGAGTCGCATCGTTTCCCTTAGTTTTCTGGTAATTCATATCAAAATACATGCTGATTATGAACATTATATGAAAATATGCAACTTTTTTCGCGATGGCATAAGGAAATTTCTCTCACTCCATTCCATAAATGATATATGAACTGAGACAAAGTTTTTTTCATTATTTTATATTAACGAGTCTATGTTAATCTACAGATCAAATATGAACAGTTGCGTTAATCAGATATCAAATGGAAATGAAGTAAACATATGTATTATCGAATTATTAAGGAAAATGTTTTATCAATTTCTGAATATATACATATATGGTCTCCATTGCTATTTTCAATGCTATATGTAACTATGTGACGTTATGCGATTATCAAAACCTATCATGAAAATATGGAAGGTAATTGAATACATGTGTAATACACAAACAATATATATGGAAATATTCGATGAAAAAAGGCAAGCATGTGATCAAATGTATATTTTTACTAGACAATGTCGTTCACTCCATGATTTTTGGGAGGACAATTGCCATGTATTGATATCAAGTTATAAAAGTGCTAGATATGTTTCCATACCTGTTGACTCCATGCATTGAGGCGGGCCACAAACTCGTTTAAATGAACGTACACAAATGAATCTTTAATTTTCTGCTTTTCGGGGGTCATTTTGGCATTCGTTATGATCTTTCATCCTCTTATGTGGGATATAGTCGTTATTCTCGCCTATATCACAAATTCAGAAGGATGAATGAGGCGAAAACAATGATAACTTTTCATGATCTTGTCAATACTCACCACAACCTTCCCATCTTTGATCACTTCTGGTTTCTTCATTCTTTTACCTTTATACTTGAATTGCGTTTTTTCTACAACCTCAGCCAGGGACTGTGTTATGTCATTTGTATTGTTTGATGTAGATACCAAATCTGAATCGACCACTATACATCCTGTATATTCAAATAATGGAAGATATTAAAATCAACGTACACAAATGTATAATGAAATAATGGAAATTATTAAAATGAACGTACACAAATGAATACTCAAATAATGGAAGGTATTGCATGAATGACATGTATCGATAACTAAATCGTACCTAAGCTAGCTACCACTGGATCGTTCTGCCATTATTCTAAATATATTATAATTTTATTAATTGTCCAATACGTACATGGGGTGACACTGAAGATGCAGAAAATGCATAGTATTACGGAACACTTCATCTCACTCGTTTTAGTCTAGAATCTACGTGCAAACCGTTATTTTGTTAGTTTTTCCCTAGTTCCATCGAACACGATATGTGGCTTGTTTAGGATGTTGGTGTTTTCTTTTTCGCTTTTGTCATTAGATGGTTAGTGTATTCTCCATTAACGTATGCCATGAATTATTTATACAAGTGCTAATCATTAATGATGTTTGGCTGCTCTACCGATCAAGATTTATTTCCTTTTCTTACATCTAGCATGGAAAACCATTTCAGCATAGCAGTACTTGAAGTAACAATTACAGGTTCTCGTAGCAACGTAACGAATAAAAACAAATTAAGACAGGTATCACGAAGATATGCTATCGATGTTATGATAAAACAGAGGATCATTTGTTGAGAAGTTTTTTTAAATACTTTGTACATAAGATATCTATTTAAAAAGAGGTCAAACAAATCCATTGAAACAAACCTTGACTGATGATCAATGTCAATCAGTTGTAAACTTGATGATGAGATATCAGAGTGTGAATATGATCTAAACTTACCCAGGATATATCTTATATCTGGTTAGTAGGAATTACTGTTTTTCAAAATCAAGGACACTACAGACTCTTCTACATCAGCCGCTTATCTCGATTATTTCCTTAAACAAAACCAAGATAGGCTGCGTTCCACGACGCTGTATGATAAGCGTGATGATTCAATTTCCCTATCCATTTCTGTATAACAACATTCCTGCATCCCCAACATATGAAGTTGGAAGTGTTTGATATTCGTAAATATGTTTGTTTGATGGTTATGTTGTTGGAAACCCTGATCTCATTAGAGAATGTGACATTACTTGAATTGACCACGGTTTACATGGCGGGTGTCGCCGATGAAGCAGTAGACGCCTTCTTCTCCGAAATAAATGGTCTTATTTCTTTTACATATTTTGCATTTGTTGGATTATGATTATATGGAAATGTTGAAAAATTCCAGATTTTTTTTTATATACAAGCTTCGAAGTTTTGAACGGAGGGATTGACTGACACACAATATGGTTACTATATAATCACTCTTATGTGAGTTGGACTGGGGGAGGGTGAGAGTCGTTTATAATGACATACAATGATGCTCTATTACCTCTTTTCACTGTCACGTTGTCGAAATATACACCAGTAAAGTTCTCTGTAAGTCTGTTGACGACCATGTCTCCAAATTCCTCTTCCTGTTCTCCTACAACATCATCAAAACTTTCGTTGAAAGTCAGAGATATCTTCGTGGTGACAGATGTATCATCATTAAGCAGGCTTATCTGGGCCTCATTTAATACTTCAACTCTTAAGTCTCCATAAACGTCATACTCTTCTGGTGATGACTGCACATGGAATCTCAGAAAGTAGATTCCAATCTGATCAAATGCCAAATCATTAAAGATGGCTTCCCCTGTCGAATGATTAAAGTTCGTGTGTTTCAATCCTGTCATATTTCCGGTTGTATCCAAGGCGTTGCTAAGGTTAACCATTGCTGTCCATGTATGACCCTGCAAGGGATGGAATCAATGCTTAATTCTACAAGCTGTATATTATAAGGCACAAACAAGATACAAATGCGAATAAAGATCTTACACGCAAATCACAATACGATTATCACGAGGTTTCTATCAACATGTTGATGACATATTGTATGGAAGATGAATGATTTTCTTTTTTTTTTCAATATCCAAGTGTCTATCATTAGATATCCTAACAGGATTTTTTTAAAAATATTATCAACTCTTTTATACTTACTCTCCACGTGATGTTGTTGATCCGTTGTTGAGTGGCGTTATCCAGTAAATCTACCCTGAATTTTGTGATGTTGTTCACAACCGATAAATCGGTTGAAATACGAGCTCTGAGACTGACAACAATTTTATCTACGTCAAAGCTCTCTGAAATCACATCCAAATTTACTTCATTTTCTGGATAAGTCTTGTTAAAGTGAATGATAAAACCATCCCCGAATTGTGATAATTTGAGATCGGTGAAGTTGGCCCATCCACTGATGACGTTAACAGTTGTTGTTCCATGTAACTGGGCAGACGTGTGTACCGCTGACACTAGGTGAGCTGTGATGCGCCATGGATCAGCAATGCTGCCTAATTTCGACATTGGTTCGTCCTTGAAGGAAATAACATCACAATATATAAATGTTTTATAAAACTTTACTAAATCAAACGTATTAGGTTAAAAAGATCTGTCAGTATCGACGAAAGCCTAGAAAGGTAAAATTTCAAAAGGAAAAATATAAAATCGCGTTATTTTGATTTCAATACATATATCAAATAATCAGAAAAAAGAAAATAAATGTCTGGTAGTTCATGATTTAGCTTTAGGGAAGAGCTCATTGTGCCAATCGATTTCAATACATATAACTAACGTAGAAAACTAGACCTTAAACATCGATTACCTGTACATCAAACACGCGCAGACATGGTTGTTTGGGGAAGGGTGCAGTTTCATAGGAGGAAGCTATATGTTTAGATATATTTATACGCTTTGGAACGTTGATCTCCCCAGCAGAGTCAAGTCTTGGCGCGTCGAGTCCGTGGTCAACAACAGGCTCACTTACAGCAATACGTCTAACAGTCAGATTTAGCATTTTGCCTATATCTCCTCCACCCTGAACTTCATTAATAAACTTTGATGAAAGGTTCAACAATTTTTCAGTGGTCAATGATTCATTTGGAATTGACGCATTGGCCGTGGTATTCGCACCTGAAATAGAACGATAAGGGCCTGAAATCGATGTCATTCAGGAAATAAAACAAACAATTGTAAAATAAGCTTTCCTAGTAACAATTTCTCGACTCTTCCTGGCTAATGAAAATTAACCGTTATGGAAAAGTTTCCTCTTCTTTTGATAAGATATTACAAGAGTTTATTATGTTGACATTGATTATCTGGATTGCTGTATATTCGACTATTAATTGTCGTAATGGTTTCCTCGTCGACTTTTTTTAGGCATTTTTTGTGAATCTTATTATTTGATGATTGTGTTATCAAGTTAACATGATGATTTGTTACGCAAACCCTTTATAGTTTTCTGATACGTCATACAAAGAATAGCTGAACACCAAAACTTGAAGGATTATTACTTTCGATTGGGTTATTGGATATTTCAAAAACGACATTCTTGTAACCATCTGCATCTCGTTTCCTCCTTCCAGACTCTCTAACGACGTTTACAACTCTGATCTTCTCCGGAGGCACATCAAAGAATAATGCTAGATTGTGTACCAATGCTTCCCCGTAGAACTCCTCAGGCGTAAGTGCAGGTATTTGAAATGACACAATAAACGACGGATTTGTTACTATTTTAACTGGGCTGCTTCCTCTGAGTAATACATACAACACATTGGAGTTCCGGTCAAAGAAATTCGTTCCCGTTCTGTCATTTGATTTCTCATCAGGAACGAATTCACCAGGTACAGATGGTCGATCAACGATGTATTTTTCATTGACCATTCTGGCGTTCTTTGCTAAAACCAGATCTTCCCCAACATACACATCTCGGCGGTTGGATTGGGAGTACCATATCTTTAAAGTCACGGCCTGGCTATCGTTGGAGTTTAGCAAGAAAAGCCGTAGGGTCTGAGGACTTGTAGTGGAGAAGAAAACTGAGTATTTGTTCCCTGAAAACATTCATTCATAGATTAAGATAAATCACACTTCTTTAGATGAGTGCAAATAGATGCTAGACTTTGCGAAAACACTGGAATACTAAGATAAATCCATCAAGGCCAGGCAGTTGACTGAGGCATTTTTACAGTTGCCAGGAAATCGAACCACTGCCACCTGAGTGAAATTGTGTTACCACTGCGCCGACCGAACATCCATTCATATGTCAAACATTATTCAAAAGACAATATTATTAAGTTTTAGTCACATTATGAATCATTGTCCAGAATACAAACCTGAGGCTACAATAGCCATAAAAGTTGACAAACGTTTCCTACAGTAGCCTTGACTACAATCACTGTGGTCCTGGGGGCCGTTAATGAGGTCCAGATACCCGTCTCCAAGAATCGCCACAGGTGACAGACGCCGGGTTTCCGTGTCCGCGTCCAGACTCTCTATTATCAGCATTTCGTAATCAAGGTCGTGACACTCATAGGCTTGCCAGACAGGTCGGTAATGGCAATGGTCGTTTCGTATTATACCTTTTTTTCAATAAAAGAAACTATATGAGTATACAGATATCTCATGAATATTTCTGATTCTGACTTTCAATAACTAGGATTTGTTTCGAAATCATACCTTTGTGCGGTGCTATAGTACTAACGTTGATACGTTCTCCATTTAGAGTTGTCAACATTTCCTTAGGTATCCTGTAGTCACCTAGACCTCTTCTTGGATCACCATCCCACTCCCATTCCGACTGAGATATGACTGCTCCCTTTTCGCCCAGAAAGGAGCCATCTTCGTCTTTTATAAGGGCCTTTTTCAGTCCATCACAGTCCATGTCAACACAGTCTCTTGGGTTTATTTTACTGTTTGTATAGATGATATTTTATTAATAAAGGGATTTTAATTTCTTTAAGTTTATATACAACATACAGTATCTTTTATTTCAAACAGACTAGTTCTATCAGCAATCGTTTGATATATTGCAGAAAAAAATAAGTGCAACATAATTTATTCCATTAATATTTATAATATTTTTTTAAAAGTTTCATTGAAAATATACTAACTTATACACCTAACATTGATGTACAACGGCAGACCAGCAACAATGTAAACATATATGACATCATGCTTTTTATATAGCAATAAAAAGTCTATCATAAAGGACGACAAAAGGCAATATGTCCATCCAAACCTCTATATTTTCGAATCTAAACAGTTGTTTATAAACGACTTCATGAAGATAGACGTACTCAATGTTAGGTCGATGGATGAAGAAATATGAATCGTTATCCGAGCTGAATTTCATTATTTTACTGGTTACCACAGGGTGTTGTCCGTCATCATTCCATTTGTTTGTAGTCAGCATGACGTCTTTTGCACCACATACCGACTTAAAATGAGCAAAAGTCACACCTTGAAATAAAGAATAAATGCAAAAGTAAGGCAGAAATATGTTCAGTGCAACACAGAAGTTCACATAGAAATATAAAGAAAAAACCCTTTTTTGCCGTAGTTAGTGAGCGTTCGGCCCTCACAACTTCTGATATTATAGAGATAGATAGGGATAATGAAGACAAAATAACTCAATCTACCTTGAAGTGACTTTGTGCCTGGCAAATCCTTATTATTGTATAAAGTCTTCATCGTAGAGAAAGAAGCTTACCATTTCCCCAATCTTACAGCGTTTCAGGTAAATCAATACCATACTCACCCTGAATATTCGTCACTCCCATGATTGCAGGGTAGGTCTCAATTCTCGTTAGTCCGTAAAAGGGATTCCAGTTACTTCCTCCCAAGAATGAGGCAAAAGTCATTCCCACGTGACCTCCATCGACTTGATTTATTATACCAGACGATTTAGCGCGATCAGTTGTACAGTTGTAGGACGATGTTGTACCTATGATGAGACTGTCCTTAACGGTACAGGATTTCCATGTGTATAAATGATCCACGGGACTAGGGCCTATCACTTCAGTGTATATTCCTATATTATTTTCAGCCAGAACATTACCAGCAATATTTACTGACTGCATATTGTTGTAATATATTCCCATGTTACTACATTTCCAGATGAAATAGTTCGATATTTCATTACACCTCTCATGACCTTTATTTCCAGGAAAAACAGCCAACCCTATTGACGAACTATGGGCTTCATTTCCAGATGGACCGGATGATAGACCACATTTTACACCAGGAACATTGAACGCTACACCGTCAGTACCACTTACTGTATTATTTATGAATGTTAGCTTACTGGATAGCATGCCACTGATCGCCCCAGGGTAGGAATCTTCAACACGGACTAGTACGATAAGGTTTCGTTGTAGTGTCGTTTTCAAAGATTGAGTTTCAATCGCTAAAATGATACAAAGCGATTATAGATAACAATGTTGATATTTTGATTCATAGAACTGTATGTCGCGTCATTAAAATGAAAAAGAAAAAAGAAAATCTGATAAGAATGAAATGAAAAGCATTGTAAGTTACCTACATTAAGAGTGGGATTTATCTTCGCGTTACACGCGAGGAGAGTTGATCATGAATTCAAAACCCCCGCTATTACTTGTAACTCTGTATGGCATTCATTTCGACTTCCTTACTGATATCGGAGTCTCGAGATTCCATGTCTGTAATAGCTCATTATTCACAAATCTAACGTTATTCTTCGATCAACGTTCTCAAAATTATGAGTTCGTATATATGCCTGAAGCGGTAAGTCCACGAGTTGGGGATGGGTGTTTTTACTAAATTTTAACTTTATATGCATACTTGGTGGCATAATTATATAAATGAACTGACATTAAATTATTTGACTGAATCAAACCTTCTTTATGTCAGAGTATGTGACAACAGTGAAAGTGGCAATTGCACTTTGTGATAATCTTGTATCAAGGACCTACCAACAGATACAGAGTGGTGGATAACATTGTCGCTCAGTACAAGACCGGTAGTTCCGGATACATCTATCGCAGACGAGAAGCCGTGATGGAAGGCACACTTAGTTACAGACGATGGCTTATCCTCCGTCACTGTCTCGGCATTAGAGTACGTAAGAGAATATTCACGCTTAATATAGGATTTCCATTTTCCCTGTCCAGTGTGGATGAATTCAACATTACTAAAGCGGGCATAACCTGTGATGTAAGTGACAAATTAGTTGGTTTAGGTTAGGTACATATACAGATGATACGTAAATCAAATCTGAAAAACTGAGAACATTAGTGAAGTGTTTTTTAGTAAAAGCAGCGATATATTTTTTTTACTGATAGTAAGTTCATTTTTGTTTTATTGTTTTTTTTTTCAGAGATATAATTTTACATCGTCATGTTAATTTTGCTTTACTATGAAGTACAACTAGCAGAAGACAAATGTTATTTCCGTTTTTAAATCAATATTAGTTTTCACATCATCCTTGATTTAAGATTTAATCCCATTAGGTAGATCGTGCAATCAGTGAATCACTGTTTAATAGTGAAATAATGATTTCTTATTCCACCGAAATAACCTTTGACAAGCTGGTGGTTAAACAAGGTCGCTCCCACTAATATTCGTCCTCCGTAACTTTCGTGGTGCATAGGTTCAGTATCTTCGCCATATATACGAATGTTTCTGGTAAGAAGCCCTACCTCCGCCGCGATATTTATTCTTCGGCCGTTTATTGTTTCCTTGTGAGCTGCAACATAATACCTTAACGTGTTTCATACAAACATGGACATAATGAATTGAATAATTCAAAGTAAGGTCGATTAAAAAAATATGAATAGAATAACAACAATAGAATTGCTTAAACGTCCTAGACGCCTGTTCAACAGATTACAGGTCAGGTGACTTGTAACTTTTTCTCTATTTGATACACCTATCTCGATTATAATTTACGAAAGACAACCATAGTAACAAACACCTTCAATACAAATTTAGAAATAAGTAAAGTAATGCTACTAATTAAGCGGCATCATACAATGGTTTCCTCTTTCTAGGACTCAGCACAGACGCTAAGGGCATGAAATCGAAGAGGCTGCCGATGAAAATTGAAACTGATCGACACGAATATCAATCAACCCAAAAATTAATCAATTTCATAATTTGCCACCTTGATCAAAAGAGCGCCAGATCCTTGAATATGCACATGAAAGGGACATTCAAGTTCTGCATGTACGTACCAATATGTCTGAATTGTAGAGAACTATTCAATGTTAAAGTCAATCCGTCTTCGGACACATGAGTAATCCTGAATATCTCTGTCTCCCACATGTCGTAGCTAGTTGGGCCGATGACTATTTCTGTCCCGACTCTCCAGGTCACGTTATCAGCTAGAGTAATTGAGGACTCCCCAGGGTTCCCTGTCTCAGCCAATCTCGTCCATGGAACGCCAATATCTTTACCATTAATTTCTAGTCCTCCATATACAGCTTAATGAAGAAAGATGTGCAGATTAATTCAAAATACGATATCACTGATTTATCGTTTAATTTCAAGGGCAAATAAGCCAGAATTTCTATTCATTTTTACTGCAAATATTTGATGATTGCTATTGATAATTGAAAATGTTAAAATATGTTAATCAGTTCAAAACACTGAATGAACATTTTCTTACGTAAACATTTCCCAGTATCTTTGAATGATCCTGTCTCTATCATAATTATATTGTTTGAAATAAAACGACGGCAACTGTACAATATCGAGTTGTCGTTAAAAGATAACAATAATAATAGAAAAAAATGAATAAAAAAAATTAAAAAGGAAAAACAACGCTACCTATTGTTTTTGCGTTGACAGGTATTTGTGTAAAAGGTAGGTAGTCTTCAGTGTCCAGGTCTCCAAGCCGGCGACCACGAAGTACAATGTCTATTTGACCAAGGAATGGGTTATTTGGTGAACCAATCAAAAGTCTTCCTCCAATGATTATGATATCAGTTACACTCAGAGTAAAGTTTCGGTAGGAATTATTTACAGGACTAATGTCGAACTCAAGCACGCCATAAATAATGAGTTTGTTTAGCCTCGGTATCACAGTGTCCGCTACCATCCAATCGTCTGTGGTTAGAAATATGTATGTGAAACAGCAAGAAAAAAACAATACGCAAACAAACAGGAATTTAAAAAAAAGATTTGAACGTTAAATGATGATATAGTATACAGCGTGACGGGGTCTACTTGAATGGGGTAAATCTATCAAACAATACAATATTAAAAAAAGAAAGATTTAGACTCCTGATAAAGTACATGAAGAATAAAAACGGTGTTCCGATAGGGTAAGCGCCTTCTGCTGAATTGATGAAAGTGCTTAACACAGAACTTGAAATAATCAGGGATTGTATGAAATAATCACAATATAAAGCTCCTATGTTTTGAAACCAAGGATGTGACTGGAAAAACCCCAAAGTACATGTGTTTCAAGCACAAGTTTTTAAATGATCGATCATTTTTGGCCCATATCACTTTTACATCATGTCGAAAAGATTGTGTATTTGGAGTCCGCGTAAAATCTAGCACAACACGAGGAAAATTGCCGCGGGAAAAACCATAGGTACAAAATGAGCAGAAATGCAGAGTAAAGCAAGAAAAAGACGAGAGTTACAGTGCTGCATTGGGCTGAAAAGATTAAACTTGGAATCCCGATTGTATAGTAGACCTAAAAATTAGTCGCTGCCCACAACATCAAACAAGATAGAACATGTGTAGTATTCCCTTGTTCACAAATAGCTTCAACAGTATTGCATTAAAATCATACAACCTTCCGTAATGATGACGTCATCACCATCAACAGGAAGCGAGGAGTTAGGCCATGATGTAGGCGAGGACCAGTAGATATAGGCAGGTGTTCCGGGTGAGGAAGTCTCGTAGGTGGAAGGCGCAAGTGTAGGAGTGATGCATCCCTTGAAGAAGCATTTTCTAACACTGAAGTAAACAGAGATATCTTGGGTGCCATAATCATATCCGTCTGTGTGACCCCGTCGTCTATAGGAAACTGTAAATATAATTGTACACATGAACTTATATATGTACATAACATAGAAGATATCCAGGAAGAAAGCTGATATCAAAGTTCGTATCATCAAATGGTTACCCATGGCAATAGATCATGCTTTTACTTCTTTCAGTGGTGTATTACAATAATGTGACGAAATAGATAAGCTCTTCTTCCCTGGTCTACTGAGGAGTTCATCGAGGGGTTTATAGGTTTAGGTCATTTTTATTTCAATACCCTTTCAGGGTGACATTTAAGCTTGACCAGCGGTCCATGACATGGTAGTGTGCTGTTTATTTGTAACTATTAGTGTTGGCCTTTACTACACATCATGTGTAATATTGTCGCTAAGGCGGATACAGAAATAACTGATAAAAACTATCGCAGGGTCATTTAAGTTCATGCAAACTAATTGACCTGGGTTATTTCAAATTTGAAAAAAATACTCATGACGACAGGACAGCTCAGGACAGCGGTCATAATGGTTTTTAACCATTGTTTATTTATCGATTATCTTCGTTGTTTTTTACTGATTAGCATAAGTATGTAAGCCACACACATGAAGCAAAAATGATAACATGCATAATATTTTAATTATAGAATTTCGACATACAGACATTCCATTGATCGTTTGCAACTTACAGAGTGATATCTTATTTGTACCAGAGGTCAACAGAATGTCCGTGTATCGATTTATCATGCAATTTACATGTGTATTGCATAACAAAGAGAGTATTACAGATAGCTCTTACAAGCACCTTTCATAACAAATTTAGATTCAGATACAGTGGAACTAAACAATGAATAAACCTGCATCAAACAGCCGTTCTTCTAGGACTCGTCAATGATACTAAGGCCCTAAATTCTGCAAACCTGAGAGATAAGTAGGGAACATCCAAGTTGGCCAAGGGCCAGTATTCATGAAATGGAACTCATGTGCAAGCATAAATTTAGCATTCACCTAAATCATATTCAATGATACAAATGTCAAATATAAACATTGAAACATTCATATAGCATTTGAGCTGAATTCCTTTCAATATATTTTCAAATCTTTGACAAAATCAGCTTTATTTATCAATGTTTAACTGAAACAAGATATAATGTTTGAGCACAAAATCGATGCTAGATAATTAGAACGATTTCGTGAATACAGCGCAAGATGAGAAGATTAATAAAACCTATAAATTATAGATTTCATTATACAATTAATAACTTATTTCAAAAGAAGCTCAGGGTGTATACTATTATCTGAATGAATGAAACATTGAATGCAGGTTGCGGCCTAAATGTCCACCAGTCGCAAACTACCACGCAATCAACTAGCAATCTTAACGACAGTTCAAAACACACAAAGTAAATAACACTAATCATTACACATTAAGAATGAAATACAGTACTGTCAAAATTAAGATCCAAAATAACTGTATCATACAGAATTTTCGTCCTTCATGTTGAAACAGGACCAGGGGAACTCAAAATTGGTTGCAATGCAATAAATTTTACGATTATCAATATTGGTTTAATTCTAGAAGGAGAAAACAGCTGTATAATGCTGTGTACTTCATTGTTTGACTCAACTATACCTAACTCTAATTTATCAAAAGATGTTATTCACTTGTGTGTCTTTTGTACAACTATTGAATCTTATGAATTATATGTGTTATGATTTAATTTGTTTTCCTTACCTATTCATGCAATATCCCGAATTCAGATAAAAGGAGAAAAGTCAATAAATATTGAAATCAGAACAATCAATTAATCACAAACCTAAGTACGTGATAAAACCAGATGTCTCATTATATTGCCAGTCGCCATGGTAATGTGTTTCTGGGTCAAGGGTTTCATTTGTTGCAGGAATCAGACTGTATCCATCTATATGAACTTCGTCAGGTTCTCCAGTCAAAGCTTGGCTTATGATTACATAGTCGCCGAACTGTAATGAAGGAAATTTGATTTCAAAAACAGATTGATGTAATCGTTCTTCTGATCTTCGACTGACAAAGCGATGATATTATTATGTTTTGGAATTACTCTTCAAATACATTTATATGCCACAAAAAACGAGTAGGACCGCCGATTGAATGAATGTTTGATGTAGTTCTAATATAACCGAAAATTATACTACAGATAGGTAACACAGAATAGATAGAGGAATGCAATAGCTTGTCGTTGTAAACAGCCTCAAGTCTGGAAAGTACGCTGCAACTATCTTGATGAAATTGTAGAAAGAAAAAAAAAACTCATCAAAGGACATTATCATGACCCTTTGGCTCTTAGTTACTGAGAATAGTTTACTTTGATATCTTGAGATGCAACATATGACCCCGATGACCTTTAACGTTGATAAAAAAAAAATATTTGAACAGACATGGGAGTCTTATATAATTCGAAAGTATTCTGAAGGCCCAATATGACGACAATATGTCTTTTTAATAAAAAAGTTGCTAAAATGGATAAATGATGTATGGCGTCTAAGCTATCTTACCCATTGGGTGGGTGAGCAAATAATCTGATATTCGACCATGCATGACCCACCAAACTTTGACCTCAAAAAATATTTTTTCCAATATTGAGAAGACGCGTTTAATACCAGATATTAGCTAATACTAACTCTTATATTAAAGCCATACTCGATCTTGTACTTCACATACCTGCATTCTGTAGAAATAGCCATAGTAGCTGAAATTAGTCAGCATGTAGCCATCATCAAATTCCCAGACATAAGAAGAACCGGCAATTAAGTTCGTCATCCAGCCGCTTGACGGATATATCGCTCTGTAACGATAATGGTGTGGAGTAGATCCATACTTGTTTGTTAAAACGAGATTCCAACTTGAAGAGGCGTATGATTGTGAATATGGAGCGAATCGGATTAGTCTGACATCTGCCGGGCAATTACATAAAGGAATGTTTGAGTAGTTTGAGAAAAAAGTACACTTTGGTGGTAAAGTTCCGGTACAGGGTACCACTTTACATGACGGAGATCCACAAAGGGAACCATCCATGTCTTCGTACACTGATTCCCAAATCCATTCGTTGTAAATTCGATGATCAGCATTGATAAATGTAAGATTATCTGTTCGGTACGTGTATCCACCACAGTTATAACTGCATCGCTTGGGAATCCTTGTAATCCGTAACGCCGAACTGTTTGATTGATTAAAGTTGACAAAACTAACATTATGAATACTGAATCCGAACTTGTAGGGCAGTACAACTCCTCCGTTGGTACATTCTTGTGGTGGGATACCTGACAGGTAGCCAACGATCATGGAATCTTTCAGAAAAGGACTGTAATCATTATACAGATTTCCCTCGTAGATAATTTTACCCTCATAACCAGCATCAACGTTATTAACAGCGGTAAGACCAAGTACATGTACTGCTCCCATTTCATTTACTTCGATTCCCTTACGACAATTCCATACATACATATCTTCAATCACCGCAGCTTTCACGGTTGATGAGTATGAATACATTACGTGCGGAGTATATTTCGGGTAGATCCACAAGCCATACCATCCTAAAGAGTGTGCGGTATTGTTGTTGAATTCTGTAATAGGGGTATACTGAGGTCTGTAGCTGCCAGTTACATCAGAACGTACACTATCCTCCAATCGGAACCAATATCCAAAATGTGTGCCACCGGCCGCCACATTATGGCGCAGTGTATTGTTTGGATTTGTGATCCAGAACGTTGCTGGTGAGATATCGCTATTCAGTAGTTGAGAACTGCCTTTCACATCTATACCAAGGTTGTACTGGAATACATTTCCTGTCTCAGTTCCATCTTCCAGAAATATCGCCACACCGTTGACGTTGTAGATCACATTGCGTTCAATAAGAAGGTTGTGTGTATCACGAATGTTGATGGCTCGATTAAACGTGTCGTGTATTCCACATCCACGTACATACGATTTAGACATGTCACCAGTCTTATAGAAGTTGATTGGATGACGGCCAAGACGGAAGGCTTGTCCGACATGGTAGAACTCCACATACTCAATACGGCTTCTTGTTACCTGTTTCTTTGGGTCTGTTGTGTGAATTATTACTTGCGCACCGAACTGGTCGCTTCCCATTTCCCCTCCGGACCGACCACGGTTACATGTCTGGACAGCAAGGTTACCTATAATGCAAAATTTCGAAACATATTAGCTGAAGGTGATTATGTCAAAAAAAGATGATCAGAGCAGTTGATTATTAACGAATTATTTTAAAGAGGTACAACCAACAAGAGGGAGGTTAAATAATGAAACAACAGTTCTGGAAAAATCATTGAATAATTGTCTCCTTTTATTGCGATAATTGATAAGAACGAACCTGGATCTAAACCATCTGGACATGGTTTGATATTTTCTTTCCACTGTGGGTCGCTTTGCCCTCTTACAACAACGTTTCGAGTAAGCAAGCCAACTTCCGCACTGAAATCTAATCGCCTGCCCGCCACTAGTTCAGATCGTCCAAGATGTGAGTTGGCTAACTCGCTGCCGAGTGTGATTGTCTTGTTGTCTGAAGAGACTGATTCTATCGTAACAACCTCAGTCTCTGTCTGAGAATTTACTCCTCCTGTCGTTGATATGACTATCAGGTCACCTTTCTGCCAAGTCACCTCATGCTGTAAATTCAAGTGTTTGTCGCCAGCTTCAGCGGTGTGTGCTAGCTTCGTCCACGTGATGTCTCTGTGTAATCCTGTATAATGATAAATAGGACATCGATGTAAACTGACAATGAAATGAATAACTGAAGTTTTGGTAAGGAATATTCTGATAGTAGTTAGATTTACAAATGTCATACAAAAGGAAGGTATACCTTCAAATTTGAGGTTAAGAAAATATGATTATTAGGCGATCTCCCGTAACAATTAAATGCATCTCTATGTTTATCAAGTACACTTAACAGCCAAGGTCAAATGAAGACGGTGGGAACGATTGATGAGACTTTTTAAGACCAACAATAATGTTCTAAACTGTATGATGCTGGTAATCCGTAAATACTGCCAAATAAAGAAAACAAAGATGATAGCACTTAATTTGAAAAAAAGAGCTAAACATGATTGTCCTTTTCCTCAATAATTGATAGCATTACCATGTAAGTCCAATGTCCCTTCTCGAACGGCCAGTGATTTTGTCCCATATATGGGCAGCTCCTTTGAGCGTTGGTGTCCATGTAAACTTATTGTTGCTCTGTGTTCGAATGGGTTATCTTCAGTTCCAACCTTAAACAAACTCACATTCTTCCATTCTATGTAAACTCGGTTATTCGATATTCTCTTCTGTATATAACAAAATACTATTTGTAAAATTCATAAAGTTTAACCGTACCATAACTTCAGAAATGGATAGTTTCTTATTTGCAAGAAGCTGTTTCATAACGCTTATAACTCAAAAACATATAAAACAAAGTTTTGTGAAATGTAGAAGTGTTTGAGTATATATACCTGCGAATTATGCACAATTAAATTGTGCAATGAATAGCAAATGATATTTTGGAAATTTTGTACCAATTTGTTATGAAGGGACAAGTATACTCCTGTCGTCAGTAGTTACTCAAATTGGGATACCCCCGAAAAACAAAATGACATTACTGTATCTTGTATGGGACTTCTTGCACGTTTCCATTTACAGATTCTCCTATGCATTGAATTCACGAGAACATTAATTCACCTTTAAAATGTTATTCCTTTCTTGTGTTAATGTTGCGTTGCGATTGTGGGGTAGGGGGTGATGTTTCATGTTTGTTCAGACATATCGGGGCTATATTGGGGTCATTACAGCGCCTGAGCGTTGTTTGCGGTGAGAAAATCAATAGACTACTGCAGGCGTACTGCAGGGTGGGGGACTACGTGCGTTTCTTTTTTTGAATATATATTGATAATTAGCGTTAGACAGAGGGGGAAATGTTATGAGGATGTCTTAGATTGGGCCATTGATCGAATTAGTTCTCGTGTACAGATAAATATGCTGACTTCAGTTTACCCCAAGTTTAAATATGTGGTAAATGGGTAAATATATATTATTATATGGTTTTTTTACACAACATCTTGATTATTTTCTTGATGTTTTTTACCTGTAAAAGACCACCATCTGTAATCAGTATGTTTTCAGCGTGCAGTTCAACATCTACTTCGTCAAACACAAGCTCTCCTCCTACAAAGTAAGTATCAGCTATATCTTTTCAGTTGTAGCAAAAATAAGAAAAATGGTAATTGAGGATATTTGTACAATGTTTTGTGGAGATCTATTAAATGGTTTTCGGATTGTTGTCCGGACAATGTTTCCGTTCAGTTAATTTAATATTAATTACTTTTTGTTTTCATGGCAATAAAGACCTATCCAAAAGTCAGACAAAAAGCAAAAGGCAAATTTTGTAGGGATCAGGTAACCTATTATCAAAATGTAGCCCATGATGACGGATGCATATGTACGTATACACACGCGGAACCTAATTCAATTGTCCCCGCAAAGGCATTTCTAGGAAAGTAATATCGCTATCAAGGCATACTTAGTAATTATATTCAAACAAGGAAACAACATGGATACATGCAATTGTAAACTGTATCTTGCCTTGTATTATCAGCATCTTCAGGATAGGTGAATCCGTATCGAATAGAATAGTCTGACCCTTTTGAATGACGACAATGTCCCCTGCTGTGGGCAAACCGGCTGCTGCCCCACCCCAGGTATACACAGATGACCAAACATCCACAAAGTGGAATCTCGCATTTTCCTATAAAAAATCAAAGTTAATAACTATTAAAAACGATATTTAGATATTTTGAAATATTGCATTAATTTTTTTAGAGGTTGGTTGGTTGTATCCCCACGGTACTTGTGTGAATGCGTGTCTTTGTGAGGAAAGTTGTGTGACTGTGGATATGTTTGTGTCTTCGCAGATATTTTGGAAGAAGTTTAGAAATGTATGAATTGACCAGAACCATTACCTTATTAGTATGTAATCATCTTTAATAATTGTACCTCATTTGCCTTTCCATTACATCCTGTTTCTAATCGGACACCTGCTCTTTCAGACTTCGAATGGGCCTCAGTCACACATTCTATGCTACTATTTGTCCATTTGGTGATATTGCACAAAGTTCCACCAATGGTTACTTTCGATACACATCCCGCCGTTGTTACTTGCGATAACCTGAAATAGATATATAATATGTGTATATTTTAAGCAGACTCTTGTTACCTTTAACTGTAAAATGCAATGTATACATTCATATTGCTTAATCGTCCGTGTAGAACACATCAGTTATAATTTCATTTCAATCACATAACATATTTATGCAATATACAGGGATTTAAGGATATAATTGATTATAACCAATGGGTCCAGTGCATAGAGGCTTACATGGCTAATGGCGTCATATAGACTGGATATACCATATCGATTTTTTTTAAAGTAACGTCACAGACCTTTACATCAAAATTGTATGAAAAGCACAAATCGGCCGCTAAAACGTGACCGCAGATGATGATCAGAGGTACAAGTGTATGACGAACTTCACCCATAGTGTTTGTGTTTTTGCAGAAAAGTGACAATGGGTCGATCTGTTCCATACTTTATTCCGATTACCCTATATGGCATTGGACGGGTAAAAAACAAGACAGGTTTTGTGCTTGGTTTGAAATAGCTCCAATTGCCTTTATGATTTCAATGGGTGTTTACAAATACAAATTAATGTAGTTCATTATAATTACCCGAAATTTGATCCAGATATCGTAAGTTTAGTTCCACCTTGTGTACCTCCACGCTTTGGTGTGACATCGTCAATGACTGGTGTGAGAGCAGGGTCGTAGGTATAAGCATTTTCTAGTGTTTCAGTAACACTGTTGACTATGATCTTCACGTCGCATTGCTGAAGCGCCAAATCTGTGAAATTAAGAACAGACAGTTACCAGTTTGTGTGAGTTGGTTAAATCAGTTTGCATGTACCGATAAATGGTCAGCAACTGTCAGTCGATTGAACAAAAATCAAATAAATAAAAAATGTTGCATATAAATATATTGAAACAATACCTCAAGTTTGATGTACTTGATATTTTTCACATCTTGCGTTTATCAAGTGGAATATATTACTGATCCCTACTTATAAGATATTGATTTTTACTGAAATTGATAATTTCCTTCACTTTTAAGGCTAAGAAGGAGAAATGAATCAGAGAAAAAGTGTCTCAACGGAAATCTAAGATACCACTGCGACCGGTAGTAGATGCCTCACAATAGGTCGACGCTCTGACTTACAGTTGAGACACGGCGATGTCTCTTTGTAGTTGCTGCTAACTACTTCAATAAACAGCATACAACAGATGCGTCGCATATAAATTATGTTAAATATCGTGCCCATAAACACAACTTCGACAGCACAGATCTGTTCGTTTCTTAGAAACGCAAACCGCCACATGTAAGGAGTGTCACTTTTCACACCTAAGCTCTCCATCAGAGATTACTTACGCCAACGCTTTTCAAACGGAATCGTTGCGGTTTCTAAAAGACTAAAACACTTATCAAAATCACCTATACAGACATCGGAATTCACATCACATTAAAGCAATGGACCCACTGAGTAGTTCTCATTTGCATAATCGTTTTGCGTTGTTGAACCCATAAAGACTGAGAGATCTACTTTTGCACACCGAAACAAAATATTACCTGACGAAGATGGTGTATCACAAATAAATTGAGTTGGATCTGCTAGTTGACTCTTCGACATGTTGCACATACTACCACAAATGGTCACCACCATATCACTGTCGAAACCTGATCCGAGTACAGTGACTCTCTGGTCTCCAGCTAAACTACCTGGAAAACAATATTGAAACTTGGTATTTAAACTTCAAAGATACTATCATTTTTCTACATAGATATACGTTTCTGATAATAGTAGCAAAAGTCTCAAGAAAAGCTGATGAATGCTCCCCGAGAACAGTTTTATTGGACACAAACTTTGAGGAAAGGGCAGCAATTCTGTAATCAAGGGTTTTCAGGCACTACGCATTATGTTAGTATGACCAGTGTATACACAAAGGTTTCTTTTCCTAGAGGTTATGCAGTGGACACAAAAGGTCATATGAATGTCCGCAGGTCCTGAATTTGATTCTTTGCATATTGCCTTAATATTACTTATGTATACACAATGTTTCATGATCCTTACGTAAATGTGGGCAAAGTTAAGCTCTGGATACAATAGCACGAACAGAAAGATGCACGTACATTCGTAAATGTTCACGGAACATAAAGACTATATTATCCCTAACGAACTAGCTGATAACCGGTAGTAAATGCTTCTTACCTGAACGTGGTTTGATGGCGTTTACTGACATATTAAATGTAAATGTTTCATCTGCATTTGAATTCCCAACACCATATACACTAACATGCATATTGTATGTCCCCGCGCGTTGAACTCCGACTGTACATTTTAAGTCTGTTTGATTAACAGCAGTCACTGTACAATTACTATCTCCGATGAAAACGCTGGTCTCATTCAGTCTTGTTCCTAAGTTGTAACCGGTGATTGTTATATTTTGTCCATACGTTCCGGACGAAGGATACACAGCTGATACTGTAGGAGAGATCTTCTCAGTAAAGTTAAAGTTTCGCTCTGGATATTTGACCCCATTTGACTGGATATTCAACACTGCCATACCAGCTGTATGCTCCCTGGTCGTAAAAACCAACGACATCACCGTTCTATATTTCACTGAATATTGAAATCCGTCGACTTCAACAGACACATCAGAAAGAAAACCATTTCCGATGATAGTGACGTCAGTTCCACCGTGAACACTTCCTTGTTTCGGAATGATATCTAATATGGTTGCTGTACTAGTAATATTGACATTTCCTTTGTTCGTTGCTCTCCCTTTACTGATTATATCTACCACAACCTCATTCTGACCCAGCGGCAAACTTTTTATCAAACATGTAATTTTAGAATTCGAAACGCTTTCCACTAAGCATTTGTGGATTTCCGAAGACCGCATATTCACCGATACTTTTGTTTTATCCTCTCCAAAGCCTGTTCCGGTTATTGTGACTGAGGTAGTGTTTTCACCTGTTATCGTTTTAGGAGTAACATTAGTTACTGTCGGGGTCATCTGATCGTCGTACAAAAACTGACATGATGCTGCACAGACCGCCGGGATTTTCTTATTTCTGGTTACTGGGATAATTACGGACACGTTCCGATTTCCAACGGAGGACCGCGGTGTTAAGCAAATGATTTCTGTGTATGAACTCGATACTATATCACAGGGATATCCACCTATATTGACTTCTGTCGATACATTGCCTTTCCCTTCTTCAAAACCTGTTCCAGATATTGTTAAATGTGTGTATCCTCCTCGAGAGCCGTTCTTAGGGGATATATTATCGACTACAGGAAACAGCGCAAATGTTTTTAAAATATCTGTATTTATGTTGACATGGGCGTAACCCACATTGTTAACATAAAAGACCAGATACTGCGGTCGACCTATTCGTGGTTTGTTTTCGGACCCAATAGTACACGTTATAGATGTCAATGAACTGCTGGACACCTTACAAATATAGTCTCCAAACGTTATATTATTTGAACCACTTATCTCGGAGAATCCGTTACCAGATAAACGTATCTGATCATTAGTGGTACCGTTTTGTCGGCTTATTTGGTTAACGACTGGTGATCGGCATGTCCAGAACGCAAATTTAAACTTTGTGGTATCTGATGAATCGAATGGAAAAGGATCAGAGCAGTTTTCTCTATGTACAGATGCATCACAGCATTTCGTTGTGTCTGAAAATAAGTAAAAACACTTCGATTGTGTATGCGTTTAACATTTTAAACCTGTAAATGAATTCGGGATTTTAACCAATTCATTCAGACACAAGTAAAATGTTTGAATATCTTATGTCCTGTCACTTGTTTGTAGACATCATGTAATATCAGCGATCCATACACCAAATGAATGTGTAAAAAAACAGTTCAGCCATATAAAAAGATGTTCCAACAAGATGGCGTGTTGCCATTGACTCCTCGTTATTGTTATCAAGTTGGCGGAGCTAAATGTTTCATTTCTCAGCAGAAAGCTGCTTTTTGCATTTAAACAACAACACATTATTATAATGTACTATATAACTAATAATGTTTAAATGTGCAATCATAGCAACACATACGGGGATGGCGATCGTTTATTGTATGGTTAAGATAGTTCCAAAATGTCCAAGTAATTACCACCTATACAAACCTGCGGTTGGCAATGTCTTCGCTAAGTTATACTTAGCTTCAAATCCTTTATGTGTAACTGTGACGTCAGCCAGGAAAGATGCTCGGTCTATGACCTCCACAGATCCATGGAACCACGTGGTACCGTACTCATCAATAACACCACTCCAGTAGTAAAATAGGCCGGCTCTACCAAACTCATGGGAATACCATCCTGTATTTCACGTGAAAATGACAATTTTCTTAAAAGGATGTCATACCATGAATAAGAGAGAAAATCATAAATCTCCAAAGACATAACCAAGATCATGAAGAAAACAAAACCCCAAAAACAAACAACATAAGTTGTTCACAAAAATCATATAACATATAAATTGACACAGATTATATCAATGTGTTAACCATAAATGACAATTCCTTAATACCTGTTGATGTACCAACATCGCCATTAGAGAATCCCCCTGGCTTGCCGGATTTTGCTGTCATGTTGTACGTCTCCTCGACCCTCGGTTTCATTTTGGTGATATAAAAAGGAAAATCCCAATCCCAGCGTACGACATCCCCGACCTTGACCTTGATATGCTGAGGGTTCCAGTAGTAGTACTTTCCAAACGCTTTAATGATATGATCAATTTATACACAGTTGTTATTGATATCAGCTTTCAGTTTGTAAATATTTCTCTACGAATTACTAATATTTGATTTTATACCGACATATTATTTCCTGATTTATATATTTATTGTTATTTAGCATTATTGTAGGTGATCGTGATTGTTTTACAACTTACATGGATGGTAACCATGGTTGTTTACTCTATGGATTGTTTGTGTTCTTTCAATCCTGCATATGACCAAACTAATGTTTGCTGCTGTGACATCACAGTCGTAACTTCCAACCTTGACCTTTGTGTCGGATGTGAATCCTCGTCCTTCCAAAGTGAGGCTTGTGCCACCAAACAAAGAACCTCCAAGTGGCTTGATACTGTTCAGTTCTAGGTTGCATGTAATAGATGGTAACTGATTTTTCCTGTGGAGACAAGTGTAATTATCTTTATTTGTTTTTATATTTTTCCTGTTATATGAAAGATTTGAATTTTACAACTTTTTGTAATGTAATACAGGACATGGTTTGTTTATAAAATAGTAGTCTTATTTTTTATATAGTACCTTATGAACTATAGAAAAATGTGAGAAGATATAAAAACGGTAATATCATGAATGACTTTATAAATGGCAAACGTCAACATTTTGTAGAACAATGTAAACTAAAAAATCTGTAAAAAAATTTTCGTACGAGTTCAAGCCTGCTCCATGGCTCCCAGCTATTACTTTCACATGATGACTTCCTGCGGAACAGGGAGGTAACTCTGCCATAATGTAGGTGTCGTTATAGATGGTAATGTTTATTTCACTTTCGCCAATCATCAACGTCAGATTTCCCTCTGTCTGAAATCCGTTACCAGTTATGACGAGCAAGTCTCCGCCTGTTAGTTAAATCAGAAATTTCAACTTTTCAGGAAAACTAAATTAGTCATTGATCTAAAAAAATTAAGCACATTATATCGTAGACAAATTCGAAACTGAATACCAATCTCTTAATGACAATGCGATCCGAGATGTCTGATCTCACAAGCAAACCATGAATACTGACATTTTAATTTGATTTTATAACCGTCGCATTTACCTTGGCTGTACTTAACAAATTGCTGCTTTTGTGTTTTTCATTTTTTTTGGTCGTATCTGTTGTAAGTGTTGTTAGCACTTAATCGATATTAAATATTGCGATATCACAAATCTTGAAAGCAATCGCCTTGCATTGCAACCAATCGATTGCCTCCATATAGTTGCAATACAACTCATGATCAGAGTGTTTTAAGTTTGTTGATACCCTGTTTTATCAAAATTGATCAAGTTCCCAACCAATCAGACAAACGGCACAAAGTGGTACGTGAATGCAACTATGTCGTTAGGCAATAAAACATCAATACATCATAATTATGTAGATATATATGTTGTTAAAGAATAAATACAATGATTTCCAGCTTAAGTGTGTAGCTTTATTATTGATCGGCTGAAAGAATAAAAGAAGCAAAACCTGTTACTCCAGTTGACGTTGGTGATATATTGGTAACTTTTGGCGTCAACGATTCTTTATAGGTAAAATTGGTATCTGCTGTAACAGGGAGTTCTCCAGTCTGTTCCAGCGTGACAAACAAAGTCTTGGGTGCATTCTGAAAACGGTAAATTTAAGGTCATTTTTTACCATTTGTTGTTTCTTCACTTGTTTAAATTTGATTTGTTTTCCGCTTGTTCCTGTTTCATATACATTATAAAAAAATGTTGTTTCTAAATTGAAATTTAGATTAATGTCCCTTATTTACAATATATGCTCAAACAAAATTGTTTTAGAAATCATATAAATATTTTTCTAATATCATTAATTGTGAAGAAAGAGTGTTACCGCAGTTGGTGCTAAACAGACAATTTTGGTCGATGAAACAGATTGAATATCGCAGGCCTTAGTTCCCACTGTTACTGACGAGTTTGTATTGAATCCACTCCCGACAATGGACAATTTCACGTTACCTAAATTAGAAAAAAAGATAAGTTCTGGTTATTTCAACGACAACAAAGCAAAAATAATATTTCAAAACAAAACCAAACATTTCAAGTCAGAAAAAACGGTATTGTCATGAACTGATTGCAAAGATATATTTACCACCGAGTCCACTTGTAATAGGATTGATGCTGTAAATTGATGCGCTGAAGACCAATGTGACATTGCCGTCTCCATATTTTGCTAATCCACTGCCAAGCACATTAACGACAACTCTGTGCTTGCCACTAGGTACATGCCCTATATCGCACGTGATCGTCTTGGTCGTTGCCATTGTAACGTTACACACTATCCCACTTATCGTAACATTATTATCGCTTGTTTTGTCGCTGAATCCGTGACCAAATATTTGTATCTTCCAAAATGAACCATCTGCAATCATATGAAATGGTTTGTTACTGATCATTTATTCTAGTTTTCTTCGTTGCTCAGTGAAATGCAATTACTCTTTGTTGTTTGAAGTAAAAGTACAAAACAGTCCTATACATAGCGACTGTAGTCAACTGTTATTTTAAAGGATTTTGTAAATATTTCTTAAGCCGCTTTTAGTCTGCCTCTATCATTTTCAACTAAATGTTACTGATTTGGTATCATGTTGATTATTAAACTTTCGTTGTGTAAAACGGTTGTTCTGTCGATGCTGGCTGGATTTGGAGTTCTTTCTTCAAAAGTATTTTTAACTGAACATTGAACAGAGCGTGACAAAGCCTGTAACCGTCCACGTTTTGACAAACAGCAAATACTTATGGAGAAAATATTGTGGATGAAAATAACATGTTTCGGTAATCTGGTCTTTGTACAATATCTGCCTTTAAAAAAGATAAAACTGCCATAAAGATCTATCATTTACGATGGACGGCAAAATGTGGTATTTTGTTTTGACGATCTACATATCTGCCCCGGAAATCTTTATAATAACTGTATTAAAGGAGATTTAACTTGTAACGCTAAATCTGCATAAAATACAATATTGAGTTGTAATGATATTTATTACTTTAAAGCATAAGATCAACTTAACCTGTTTCATAGTAAGCATTTCACCTTGCAGACTACCGTCATACCAATCGTAACGATGATTTTTCACCCTTTAATAGCGACAGTCTGGATGGAAAATGTACACAAATTCTACCTACTTATGAGCAATATTGTATTCCTGGGTTAAATCTCTTTTACTCTAAGGTATAAATAAATCTTCTTTAAAACTGTATAAATAGACTTTCCCACTTAGCTCGAATATAAACAACATTACATTGACATCAATGTTGACATGTCAACATTGATGGTAATTCTCAATATTGTTCTAATGAAAATACGCCACCTTTAATTCTATATTTTGTTTTTTAAACGTTCTTTTCCTGTACATATTTCAGACACAGACATAGCTACCGACATGTAGGTGGAATATTTCGATTGACATTGGAATTTAGATTTTTATTACTTATCATCTCTATTAATGTCTCGGTTTTTATTATTCCACAAAGGTTTCATATTTGTACTTAATATATTCATAACTATTTTATGCTACTACTACACGCGGTCGTAACAAAGCGTTTAAACAGTTGCTTTTAGTTGCGAAAGAAAAACATTCCAAACTCTATATTTGATCACATTTTGAAGAATATCTTTTGAGATGTGATCGTGCGACCGTCACAGATACGTTGACAAAACATGTCGCTTCTTAAACACCGTTGTATTATTATCTTAAACATCTGTTACATTTCATGAATATGGTTATGAGTAAAGTTTCAGAAAGCATCATTAAAAACGTGTGTAATTATTTGCAAATAATTAGTCTTTTAATAAACTTTTTCAGTCGTTAAATTTTTCATTGTATACCTTTACCTCGAACACGTGTAACGTTGTTAACAACGGGTGTACTGCCACGTAACCACTCATAGGTACAACTTCCAGTACACTTTGACGGAACATCATTTATCAGAACAGTGACCTACAATGACAGCAAAATTATGTTGTAGGTGTGTCTTCGTATTATCTTTCTAAGATATGAAGGTAATTGCAACATAGATTATCACAAATTACTATCCGTTAATATCACCCCATTTCAAAACACACATACACTTTGAACAGAAAACAAACAGGCAAGATTCAATAAAGCAAACTAATGAATCAAACTCCACATAAAACATTTGAGTTATCCTCTTGAAGTTCTTCAATGAAGATAAGGATGCAACTTTTTAAACCTCGAAGGCGAATGGGGAAAATCAAAGTATATCGAAAGAAATGTGCATATTTTGAACTGTGCCACTCATAGTTGTTAAATGGTGAGTGTTAATTCGCATACAAATAGCCTTTTCCAGGTTTTCTTACAGTTCTTCGAATCATAGAAGAATTTTCATTAACACAGAAAAGAAGTGTCACAATCACATTTCAACGTTGTTTACACGAATAACAGTATCCATCAGGGATCGTTTTACAGGAGTGTTAAGAAAAGCTGATGCTACGATGATAAATTATATTTAACATCATCTAAGAAGCATATATTAAATTTTTTCTGTTAATTTGTCTATACTGTACCTGTGGTGTTGTGTGAGCCGTCTGAAGCATCTCTCCAAACAGTGGGTCTATTGTGTATTGTCCGTTAGTTATTGTTCTTGCGAAAGAACGGATATTGTCACCAGTGACAGAACTAGCATTAATCTGAATAAAAAATATATGTTATAACTGTAAAATTCATCAATAATTAACACAGAATAAAAATTTAAATACATTGAAAACATTTGAACTTATTATATTTTACCTATCGGGTGAAAATGAATAAAAATGAGACATTAATAACAACAACAGAAGTACAAATCTTTCTATCATAATTATCTCTTCAGTCAATGAGAACATATTCATAGGCTCTGGATCAAAATTACCTGAATCTGTTCCAGATTTCCAGGAAACGTGTCGAAGTTGAATCTCCATTTCATTGTATAGAAATTGTCTCCGTGGGAATTGACCACAACGAAGCCAATGTCTTTGAATCTTTGTACGATTGCAGTCATACCATTACGTCCAGTCCAAACTGGTATAGCTGAAATTAAAACAATCATCCCTGTCATGAAATATCTAACAGACCCCATTTTATTCATTCCAACATTACATTATTTCAGTAGGTGGTTTCCTTCCTGAAATGATCCTATCAAGTTGTTATCAAATAATGTTTTACAAAAGTCACATTCTCAACAATATATTCTAAATAAAAGACTTTGCATAGAGTGTTGTGATCGCTCGAATAAATCAACTTACCAAATGCGAAATATAAGACTTGTGAAAGTCATAATGATAATCATTAAGTAATGTGAGTATTTATACTTACAAGTGACGGTTTGTCCTCTCAGAGTCAAATCGAATGTTCCCTTCAAAGGAGGTGAAGCAGCCACAAGTCTTTGTATTGATATGTTGGTGCCTGGTGGTACCTTTACCGGACAGGAATAAATATAGTACAAAAGAGACAGAAGTGAAAAGCACCTTTTCAAACAGTAAACCCAAACACTGAATTAAACTACATCATACAGCTGTTTCGTCCTCATAGGACTCGTCAGTGATGATAAGGGCCTAAAATGTGTAGCCTAGGAGGCGACTAAAGAAAAACCAAAGTGATCGAAAGAAAAGTCAAAATCTAGAGGAGGTGCAGCAGCCCCATAATAAGATAAATTTTCATACAGCAGGCAATATCATAGCAATATAATGTTCACGATGTAGAATACGTATACAGACAGAATTTGTGACGGAAAGATAATGACATTATATC